GGGATAATTTGTATTTGTGCTAGATCTTCAATGGCATGCTATTCTACTAACCTTCTTTTTCTGATTGAGAAAGACATAGGGAGAAAATAGTCATTTAAGAAAGAGTTATGTTTCATGTCTTGTGAAATGGAAGCTGTCTCCATAACTACATTTCCTACATTAGAAAAGAGGACCAGAAAATCACCAAATAAATAAAATATTTGTATAAACCATGACAAATAAAATATTTGTATAAACCATGACAAAGTCCAGGGATTTATGCTATGTGGCATGAAACAATGTAAACTTTGCTAAAATTCTCACTCATAAAAAAACAAAAAAATATTTATGGTTGAAAAGGTTCCAGGAATACTGATGTCATCATGGTACCATGACTAGTATTTTCCCCCCTGGAAGCAAGTTGTAGTATAGTATACTCTCACTTGATGAAGATGCAAATTCAAACTTTTTCAGGGTATTTTTATGCCCCTCTTAATACTTGTGGTTAGTGAGTAAACCTCTTGAGGTTTATTGGTATTGTTTAAAGAAATAATAATTGTTTACTGTGTCAGGCTCTGGGGTTCCCCAGTAGATTGCGCATGAATCATTTCTCAAAGCTGGAGGATAATGGGATACCTTTATCATCCCCCTGGCATCAATAAAAAAAAGCCGTTGAAAATTAAATTGATTGTTAAGTCTTTCATTTCTCCCCAGGCCAGTGTTTGGTTATGTATGAAGAAAAGGAATAAAGAGAGGCCGATGGTTCATAATGTTTATTATAAAGTATTACAAGCAGTGCATTAGGCAGTTTAACATAAACTTGCCTTAAGTGATGAAACATAAACTGAATAAATTATCTTCAAAGAAGTAAAAGAAGATATTTTAACATGAATTAACATAAATATGACAGATTTTGCACAAATAGCACAAGTCATGTAGATAAAGATAGAACAGAGATATGTAGTGTGAGGTATAAATATATATTTATTTAGATGTCCCCTATATTTCTGAATGCATTTTGCTGTTTAATCAATGCAGGTGAATGCCCCTGGCTGGTCTCCCAATGCTATCCCCAAATGCTATCTACACTGACCGAAGTTGAAATAATTTTTTCATTAAGATCTGGCTTGGGTGGAGGTGCAATGCTCCCAGTGTTCTCAGAGTATTGCACCTCCCAATGTACTGCCAATGTTCTCAGAAAACCAACCAAATTTTAATACTATCCAAAAAAAAATTAAGATTACCACAAAGCAAATTATTTAGATCAAGTTATTAAAAATAATGCATATGGAAATAACTGTTTAAAATCTAAAAACTGAAAAGAAAAATTACAATTAATGAACAGAATTGTGCATGAATCTACCAATTAGAGATGTTAGTTTTGTCAGTAGGGGTATGCTTGCAGTTTATAGAATATTCTGGGGAAATGAAGTGTAGCTGTAATATAAACATTGGATTCTTTACATTCCCAACAGAATATAAAATTCTTTAATTTAATTCTGATATAAATAACAAAAAATATATTGTGCAATTTTTTAACTTTGTACTGAAGAAAATCGTAGGCTCCGCAAGATTTTTGAAACCACAAGATTGTCCAGTATAGATTTAAATTTAAATGTTGTTTTGTTCATTACAACATCTTTTATTTGCATGATTGCCATTTGATCTTGCTGTAAGATCAAATGTTAATTTTTGTTATCCACAGGGCATAAATTCACTTCAGTTAACATCCATTTGACATTGTGTATGTGGTCTTTTTATTACTATGAGCAGACATTTGTTGTTTTTATCTTGTAATTGCAGAGTACCGTGTTGTCATTGGTGTGCACTGGTCCTTTTCCTGAGTTTTGGAACTGGAAATTCATTGTAGGGATTACCACTTTTAGGGATTGCTGCCATTCCCACAAAATCTCTTATCATTGCTGAATATCCCTTGCTATTTTTTAAAGTTTTCAGTAAGTGGGTGTGGAATAATGGAGTTTGATGATTTGATGGTGGGTTCAAAAGAAGAAAATATTTGTAAATATTTGAAAGCTCAGAATATGTCTGGAATTTTGTCTCAGAAAGCAGTACACAAATAACACTAATTAAATTGGTGAATATATACAGTTGTGCAAAAGATATCAGAACTTGAAGATAAAACAAACAGAAGAATATCCATGGATAAATTATCTCAGCTTTCGTTCATTGCTCCACCTCACTCCTCTGCAATTATTTTTAACACAAAGGCATAAGATATTAGACTTAAATAATCTTAGATGATTTCCATTGTAAATAAAATTTGATTTTGCTTTATTCAAAGTTCTCACCCTGAAAATATGTTTTGAGTTTCACACTTTTCAAAAGCTGAATTTTTGCATGAAACCCGAAAATCAGTCAGCTGTTGCCACATTACCTGGCCAGAAACCTCCTTAAAATGTATGTTGGTAAATAAATGTGTCTGCTGTAACTGTGCTGGATTTGCGTCAAAGTTTCCTGACTTATAGTCTAATGACATGTACAATGTACTTAACATGACAGGGGACTGATAACACTGCAGAGACAATGAATGCTGCATGGATAAGTGCACTCCAGCAGCACGTAAGACAATATTTCACACGCACCATTACAACAGTGGAATAAATGTTGAGTGTTATTGTCTAGGGCTTATGACCAATACTGCTGCACCATCTCTTCCTTATATATGTAGTGTTTATTGGAGAGAGTATTGAAGTCAGTCATGTAAAGATGCAAGGGTAATTTTGATTAAGGATAGCTTAAAGGCAAGATGCTTAAAGCTGTATAAGTGTATCATGTACACATATCCGATTGTTGCAGTTAATATTTCCCAAAAAATTTTTAACCCTAATTTCTTCAGTGAATTTGTAATCTTGTATTACTAATAAGTGACATTTTAGAATCCTGATAATTCCAAAATTTAAGATGTCTAAAGTGATGGTTGAGGAAGCATTACTCATCCAATTTTGGTATGTTTTGAAAGGAACTTAACAGCGAGCATTACTGTTTTGAAATAAAAAAAGCTTGCTCAACTGTATCTGTAGTATTTGAAATTGGAATTGCAGGTATTGCTACTTATACAAGTTGTTATGTGATTTTGATGCATTTTATACTCCTTTATTGCAGAGTTGGCATCCGTGAATGGCTCAAAAGAATATTAATGGAACGGTAATGTCTGTATCCGTCTTAGCTTCTGTGGGAAGAAGGAGAAATCCGCGACGCATCATTTCTGAGTGTTATTACTTCCTATTTAGTCATCTGAATGACAAGATATTTTTTACCAAATTTTCTTGCTGGTGCTGAAAAAACTTTCAAAGTAAATTTTACTTTTGGAACTCATTTGTTTTTGGTTTTTTAATGATGTTGCAAAAAAAAAAAAAATCAAAACAAGAAAACTGATCATTTTCAGATATATTATTATTCCATTTGATCTAATATTGATAATCATACTTGAACAAGTACAGGAATTATACATGCATTATATATACATATGTATAAAATGTAAAATGTTAAATTTCTTGTACACAACAAAAATATGGATAAATCACATTTTTTCAGCATATATCAGAGAGATATCACAGTTCCACAGATTATATTGACTAGAAGAGAATGCATTTGGAACTTTTGGCTGAAATATGGAACTGCCAGTGTAGCAAATTATACCTACTAGACAAAAACTTTAAACTTCATACAGATATTCTAAACTATGAACAAGAATACATAGTACTTTACTTTGAGTGACAAAAAAGAAAGTGTTGATTTTAAAAAAAACATTGACATTGAAGTTTCGATTGGTTCTGCTTGTGACTGTGAAATAAACAATTTTAATTGCTTTCTCATGTCTGAGATATGATCATCAACACCCATTGTTTCAAGCATATTGAAACTTCAGTTACGTAAAGTTCAGAGCTGACGAGTACCTATGTTCTATGCCAGCAAGGCCATTCATGTTTTCTACCACAATCCATTTTGCAAAGTATATCCCCATTTGTGATTTTTCTCTCTCATGTTCCCACTAATTACTTGCATGATAACCCCTCTTTCTTTCCCTAATTACTGTAGTTGTCAGAACCAGTGCCTTACTCAAGTTTGTACAGATGTTATCAGAAAGATCCCAGCTTCAGTAAAGAAGCAATTTACATACTAATACCAATTATGAATTAGAACTGTATGACCTTATGGTACAGTACATAAGTTGCTCTTATGAGTGTTAGAGGTGGGTGAGATAGTGACTCTATCCTACCCATTTGATTAAAATATGTAAGATTGTTAACTTACAGGGATTCGATGACTTCTGCACAATTCAGAATTGGTACTATGTATACATCTGATGAGATACAGTGTATGATGGTGAAGGATTTGAAATTTCTACAATCTGAAACAATCACATTAAACTGTAACTTTTTTAAAAATAGCCCAGTAAAAATTCAAACTGATGTGAGAAAAGGAAAGCATAAAACAGATCAGTTGCTTACTGTATAAGCCAACCTTAAACGTATACCGTATATCTAAGACATATTGTCTAAACATCCAAAGCACCATAATTTTTACCATAGAAAACATTCCAACATTCACATGAGTGTTATACAATTGTATTTTTTTTCTTAATTCAGGTTAATCCTTTGGTTACCGTATACTTCATACCTGGATCTGAAAAAACTGCTTAAAACCCAAATAAATACATGGATGTGCGACTGCTCTTCCATATATCTATCTAAGCACTGTAACAGTTCATATTTATACTTTGTAATGGTTGTAAGAAAAACATTAGGAATACAAGAGGTACTTATCAGCAACAGGCATCAGACTTTCCTGAATGCAACCCAGACAGTGCAGGCATTGTGTGCACAAATTCACTGTACGAACAAAACAGTTTTAGTGACTCATGATGAAGGTCGTAATAGCCAAGCGTCAGAGCTATGGACTTTTTGCTATAAATGGCTTCCAAATTACAATATGAAGCATAAAGTAATTCTGATAAGAATCTGAGATTAGTCTGATACTTTGCCCACGACCTTAATACATGTGGTGCATATTCAGTCCCTATACTTAAAACTACAATTTAATTCAACCAAAAAATATATCCATATCAATTTGTAAAAAACATAACCCCCTTGGCGGAGTTAAGAAAAAAAAAACATTAGAGAGAACTTAGATGACTAGCAATTTGCCAGTCATTTCTGAATTTGAATGGCTGTATCTAGAGACGAATAAAGTATGCTGAAACTGAATAGTCTAGTTTAAACAGATTTGGACAAAGCAACACACTGAGATCATAGAATGAAAGCCCACTGGCCCTTGTATTGCAGGCCTTCAAAAACACAACTCAAAAACACCTTAATTACCATTGTCATTATTCCTCATCATTATGCTGTTATTCTTGCCGTATGATACTACACTGTACAGTGCCTGAGTCATATCATAAGAACATACTTTTTCGCAAATCACGATCTGGCCTATCCAATCGAAAGATGCCAGTAGGTGGTGGATGATGATGATGTGTTACAAGCCTTGGGATAGGTGGTGGCGGTCGCATCTCAGCAATACTATCATGACTTCTGGTTCTCATGTCTTTGGATAGTTTGCGACTAGCTTGCTTTTTACCTGGTGGCACCAAAATGAATTTTTGTGGCTGTTTTTGGGAAGATGGCGGAGACTGTTTTGTGGATTTCTTCACAAATCTTGAAAAGAAATGTGGAGCACTACTTTTGGATTTCTCAAACTTTTTAGGAGGCAGTGGTGGTGGTTGCTGCTTATCTTTTTGTTTGTCTATTCCAAGGAGCACAATTCCATTTGCTGTCACTTTGGATTCAACAACTGGCTGAGATTCTGAGGAATTCTGCCGAGAGAGATTCTTACTTCCTCCACTTTTGCTTCCAGTGCCTGAACTGTTCGTTTGTGATACTTTGTTCTTGGCATTGTATCTAGCTAATGTTTCATAGTCTGGTTCTTCCCAGTACTGATCATCTGCCTTTACATTTGCAGGTAAAGGTGCAGGTGGACGAACTTTTGGGGGAGGCCCCCCTTCTCGCACATATACATAAATATCATCTATTTCCTCAAATATAAGATCTTCGGCTGAGGGTTTAGGTTCAGCTTTCTCTTCTTGAATCACGTCAGGACTCTCTGGGGGAACATTGGTGGGAATGACATCTGGATTGGTTAATTCCTTGGGTTTGTAGACTGCAGATCCTGGCTCTATCTGCTGTTGTTGTTGTTGCTGCTGTTGGTGGTTTGACTGGAAATCTGTGATCTCTACAAGAACATGGATGCTGTTCAAGTAACTAGTTATCATGTTTGAGCACCTTTCATATAACTGCTTAAAGGCATCTTGCTGTTTGATTTTCTCAATGTTGGTTGCAGGTCTGAGCTTCAGTGATACTTTTGATAATGAGACAGGCAACATTTTCTGGCTTATATCCAGTGGCATAACAAAAGCAATGCTGTCTGTATCTGATGAGATCAAGCGCAGACATCCAGTGAATTTGAGCTTACTTCCACAGGGAGCCACTCCATAAACTAGACGCACCATGATTGGTAAGCGGAATTTGGCAACGAGGTCATTGATCATGTGCACCCCAGAAATATTGTCCCTCTCAGCAATGGGGCTGAAGGCACCTTTTGTGTCAAAGTTCAAGTATACACCAGAGCCATTCTGATCAAAACAACGGAGGAGTTTAGCCCTACCTTTTCCTTTAGGCAGACTGATCATCACGTCTCCAGCCACAGTCAAAACCTCCCCTGCATGTACAGTTCTAGTTTTATCCATGCATAGCTCTCCACGTTCATTGTTTATGTACCCCTTGGTATTGGCTCTTACCAGGGCTTTTTTGGGAAATCGTCTGGCCAAGTCTCTCACTGTGTCAAACGGTGGCACAGATCTCCCCTCTTCTGATAGCACCTCAAACCAGCCTTGATATGTACTAGGAATAGAAAAGTTCTGAGTCAAAACTGATACCTTTCTATCCTTTACTTTGACTCCCTGGGCAAAAATCTTTGAGCAGGTTTTTGTAGAATGAAAGAGAAGCTCAGTGTGAATGCCTGGGTGGATGTGCTTTGATGCTCCAATGTTCATAAACTGTCCCTGTTCTACTCTGACTATATGTGGAGTCAGGTGCTTGCTGGTGAAGTCTTTGAGGTTAATGATTTCTTGGTCATCCCATTCTATGTTGGACATGGAGTATAATTCCTTGATCATGCACAGTTGTTGCTGTGAGGGACTTAAATTGTAACTCCCAGTGTTAGAGGCCATCATCCTGGTTGTACAGTTCTGATCTTGCTTTGTTTTGGTCTCTGCCGAGAGTCCCATACAACCGGCGGTAATGTCCGTTATACAGTCTTTAAGCTGCCTTTGTGTGAGCCAGAGTATTTATTTCCTTAGAATGGCTGGCATACTGGTTGGACGAGTTTTCACAATGAGGTCCTCGCAGCTTAGTCTTTGAGCGGAGTGTCTGTAAAGAGAAACTGTTTACAAAACAACCAATAACGAAATAAGCAAGATCAACACACTTCAAGTTTAAATCCTTCGGCTGTCTGTCGGCTAGTCTGTGAAAGGTGAAAGTTGTTATGTGCTTCCCCCTGTGCCTGGGTTATTACTGACCATGCAAATGAGTGTGCCCCATTTATATGTGCACACACCTGAATCACTTAGTAATAAATCACCTCAGTCACACGACAAGGGCTCCTACTATATGCTAACAAGTCAGCTTAACTGCTGCACTCTTTTAATGTTATGAATCACTAAAATAACATCAATATACTCGGAGGCCTACCTGTAACAGCTTTGGACTAAAGAGTCTGTTATTGTCCCCGTCTGTAGATCTGTGGCAAATTTGAAGGTCTGTAAAAATAAAGTGAGCAAATTAAAGCGATGAATGATTATGTCTAGACGGATTTTGTCTCCTCTCAGAACTCTTCAATGTTAATTTTCAAAAGTCATGATTTTATTTCAGAATCCCCCAGGATACAGACTAATGTAATCAATTTCAATTTATTCCAGGATTTTACTGAAATTATATTTTGGATACACCAGTTATCTGAAATAGAAACTGACAATAAACACCTACAACCAAAAGCATTCATTTAATAAATAGCTTTTTTCAACTCTGTGCTGGCACTTTTTTTAGGTCACCCTTGATGTCATAAATGTGCCATAATCTTTTGTATAAATGTTATTCTAGATCCCATTGAAAAGTCTGGGCGTAGGCTTGAAACTGACGGATTAAAGAGTTCTATATGTTCTCTTGTGTTTACATTTCTCATAATGGGATTTGGGGACACAACTACAAAGGAAGGCTGGTCCATAACATGAAAACATTTAAGCTGTAATATTATGTGTAATGTTATTGATTATCATTAAGTGGATTGCCTTTATCTCCCCCCCCCCTTTTACTTTATCTTTCATCTTCCATCAGTTGTTCATCAAGTTATCAACTTCATTCTTTTAAAAATCAAATCTCCTTACTAACAATTTACAGTAATCCTCATGTGTTCTGCATTCAAAACCTGAATTATGTCTAATCAGTGTTTAAAATCAAGAAGCCATTAGGGGGCTTTAATATACAGGTGTTGGTGAGAAACGCAGATCCAAGTCACTAGGTTGATTGTGTTGGAGAAGCCAGAGGTACTCCAGACAGTTTGTGAAATGTGTTACCATTTCCATGCAGTTTTAGTACAATGCTTTTGACAAATGAAGGGACAAAATTATTTCCCATGATAAAACTTGTTTGTTTCTGTTTTGTAAATGGTACCTGTCTAATCTTTTCTTTATATTTTGGTGGCTCAACATAAAATTGCATATGAGTTATGGCATTTATTGATCTATTTTTCAGAGGTTTTGTTGAAAATAGTTTGTCTGACATAAAAACACAAAAACGTATTATTTCCTTAGTATTTCAAACAGAAAGTTTGAATTCTTTGATTATCTGCTTTTCAGATCTTTTCAATGAATGTGTTCCAAGAAGCACCATCATGATTTTCCTTTAAAGCACAATTATAATTAGCCACTAAATCATGAATATTTCATACAAAGCTGTCAAATAACCTAAATAATTCACTATCAGAACCTGCAAGGAATTATCTATTTTTAATCTAATGCTTGTACAGACTTAATGAGGATATTAAGGCCATTGTTATGCAGGTAGAATAGTGCCATGTGTGCTGATAGGGCACAGATGCTATTAAGACCATGCTGGTTTATTGAAAAGGACCACTTGTAAGATTATGTTATCTTTAAATAATTTTTCCATTTCTTTTTTTAAAACAAATGATGTATGTTTATCCTTTTTGAAATATCTCCTCCTCCTGAAAAATTAGTTTTTATTCTGTGGGAAAATGCAGGGAATTAATGCTTGTGTCCAAAAGCCAAGTGCAGAAAAACTTGTATTTGATATTTATAAGTCTCCAACATGCTTATGTGATTGAAATGGCTGGAACTGTAAATGGCATGTTGCATAAATGCATTATTTCAGATCTGAATTATGATAACATACAAAAGTCATAATGTGACATATCTTTGCATAATAGATATTTTCTTTACTGTATACCATGTTATAAAATCCTTCTTGATTTTGACTGAAATAATCTAACAGTTTCAGGGGCAGATCAAGAGATATTTGCTGAGAGTCTTCCAAATTATCTTTGTTGATCCATCCTCCATCTTTGACAGAAAAAATTAGATACCCATCAATGTAAACTTGAAAATCTGACCGTCTTCGAGAAGACCCTGAAGATGGCCTCAATCTATCCCTGCAGGTTGATGCATGTTACCATATTTGTGAATGTCCAACTTCAAGTCTGAAGCATATACTAAAGCTAGTGCTTGCATCAGTAACTATTCTATTATATAGCTGCTCTATATTGCAAATATCAAGTGAATTTTAGTGCACATAATCAGCCTCTGGCACTCTTTTCCATTTCTATTATTCGCTGTTGTGTTAATAGTCAGTAAATCGTAAAAACACAAATGGGAGTGCTCTGGACAGATAAATCAGACTGGTTAGAAATATGGCTACATACTAGGTTATATCACTGCTTACTGATAATTTGTATACTCTACAGACAAAATGATACTAAAATATTTGCACTTACTTTTACAGTACCAAATTTCTTTTTCAGAAGCACCTCTTAGACTATGACAGGCTGTGCACAGACAGAAATGAGCATCGATACTGGGCAATTCTTAAATATATATATGTATATTATTCCAGCGGGAGAACGTGTGGTACACATTGAAGTAATCCTACCACCTGTGGTTTGTTAATCAAAGATAAATAGAACATAGTGTGCTGTAATGATAGCATCTTTCAGGTGACATTTGTTAAAGAAAGGATATCCTTAATTACCTTTATCTGATTGCTTTCATTGCTGACCAACCCTCTAATAACCCCCAACTGAGAGGGTGGACTCTTATCACAATAAGGTTCTCCCCTAGAATTTGTCTTTCTTATGAGCAACTGGCTAATTATAACTGTTGCAAGGACCATGTCTTGCTGTGATGGGAAATCTGTAGAAATCTGTATTAGGGAGATGAAAGCTAATGATTATATGATGGTCCTGCAGTTAGAATACTAAGCTGTTCTTCTACTCATGTGATCATTTCTAAAGCATATAAGTAAGTCAGTAGCCAGAGGCTATGACACTGGGCAGATGTGGTCTCTCACTATTTCTGTACTGTAGGTATTAAGTTCTTTTGTTAAAAATGATTTCTAATCTCCTTTCATCTGCATTTACAGAAATATGCGAAGAAGTTATGTAATTATTCAGCTACTATACTCCTGGATGGGGTCATTTTGATATTCCCAAGGTTCACCATTAGTATTTGCAATGGGTAATAATATTTGTCTTACAACTATAATTACTTAAATATGAAATATACACACAGCCCACACTCACACATGTTTAAAGTTCAAGTTATTCATGATATTTTCAGAAAAAAAGGGTGGTGTCTGTATCAAGCACTATAATTTTCAATTCATTTTCATGGCTTTAAAGATTGAAAGAAAAAAATGGCTTTGTAGACAGCAGAGTACCAGCTGTTATTGTAGGAGAAATATCTTGTTTCCTGTCAACAGTCAAAATGTCAATGGGTTTGCCCTCTTCAGGACACTAAACATACAGACATCATATTTCAGTGTTAATTAAAACATGTAAAATAGGTAAAAGTCAATCTATAAAAAGTAATTACCATTTCTACAAGCTGACATTGATATTCTTTTCAAGATTTGAATTTTTCTTTTTGTCCTGTTTTTTTTTTACCAAAAGAACAATGAAACATATTTAGTCAAATTAGTAACAGGCATCTCTCCCAAAACAATTATTATTTAATGGCATCAGCCTAATATTGGCTATCAAAGGAATGTTAGGATAAATACCTTTGATGTAATGCTTGAGTAACATATAAACAGAATGATTCATTGGACATAAATACTTTTCTCTAGTGAAAAGGCAGTGTATTTAAGAATGGATTTGTCGAAACTGCAATTAAGCTGTTTTCATGCTCATTTCCTACATGGGGAGCACACAAAAGATATCATAAACACCTTCTTAACATTTGACATTTTTCACAGACATTAACTTCTCTTGGTACGTGAAGGTGTTACAGGTGGTGACGATCATTAACCGTCACATTACCCTAACTCTTTGCTTGCCCATTGTTAAACATGCAGTTTCACAAAGAACACATTAAATGGTTGAGTGCTTTTGAGGGTGGGGGTGCTTTTTCAACTTTCAAGACATAATTTATTAAACAGCATTTAATTAAAATGGCTACTAAGTTTTCATCCAAAATGCTGATAGCTTGAAATGCTTTTGCAAAACATTTATACACCATTTGAGAGAGAGAGAGAGAGAGAGAGAGAGAGAGAGAGAGAGAGAGAGAGAGAGAGAGAGGGAGGGAGAGAGAGAGAGAGAGAATAAAAAAGTGAAATGAATTTGATGCCTATAAATCTGCAGAGTGATAATTCAACTTTTCTTACCTCTTATTTTCTGCATGAAAAAAACTGTTGGTTAGAATTGTCTCTGTCCTGCCACTGAGGTGATATTTCTGTTGTCCACTCAGTGCTTTATCTATGCTGTCCAGCTGTGGAAATGCAGCCTGTTATTTTAGACCCTCAGATACATACCCCTTCATCATAACCGTTCCATAGAAATTTTAGGGGAGGGATGAAGGAAAATGCAACCTTGATGAGATTTACTCATATTTTCATCATTTCTTCAGGGGCACATTCCATTGAACACCTTTGAATAAAAATAACGAAGGATATAATGAAGTTATGTAATGCATAATTTATTTGTTCAGGATAATGGGGTTGAAAACGGAATTTCCATGTTTAAAAAGACAATGCACATATTAAGTAGTTTGTAAAAGCAGGGGTGTACAGGTACATGTATCTACAGAAAAATAACATGGGCAAAGCAGATATGTGAAATTTCATTTTCTAAAGCTTAGTTGACTTAGAATGCCCACCCCCCTCCCTTCAAGTGGCATTCAACTTGCTCTACCTGCCATGATACCCAAAATAGACTATGCATCTGTTGTCATTTGCATTGGGTAACATTTTAAAATAATTAACATGAACTGCATGTAGATGTAATGTTCAGTCTTATGGCAAAAGGGGTTTCTCATGAAGATAAATAAATGAATAGATAAACTTGAATAGCACTCGGAGAGTGTAGTCCTCTGCCAAGGCAGCTCAGTCCTTATTATTATTTTCATGTTTAAAGGTACATACGAACCGAGCATTGGTGGAACATGGATTCCCAGTAACACATGTAAACCACTTCTACTAGATTCTGATATGACTCAAATAAATTCGACATGTCAAGGGATTAACTGAATAGATCACTCGATCAGCCATAAAAGACCTTTAGACTGCTCCTTTCTTTAAGTTTTTGGTTGTAAATTTAACCTACTTTCGTGACCCACTTTCCTGCCCCATTGACATACAGCTTAGAATGCCAGCAGAAAAATCCATTCAAACATCATTTTCGGGTAAAATTAAACAATGCCTTTTGGTAATTCTCTTAGTTATACTACTTTAAACTATATGCTGGCATTTGGTTGGTTTTTGTGACAAAAAATTGACTTTGTATGCATCTTTAAATACCACAGTGCTTAAAATTAAGTAATGGTCAGTTTTAAGTCAGTCTATTTCTGACCTATCCTTAAAATTTATCAAAATTCATCCATAATTTTTGTGTTAGGCTATTTAAGTGGAATTAACAAACTAACAAAGGCAGAATCATGACCTCCTTGGAGGCGGTAATAAAATGCCTGGGAATTTTCATTGCTAGAGGGTCGTACATGAACTTAATGTGGACATTTATACATTTAAAAATGTACCCCATAGTAGACCCAACTTGAGAAATGATACAGACTTTACTGTAGATCAAATATTGAATCAGATCAGACCTTTTATACTCCAAATCTCCCCAACCTCCCTCTGCTTATGTGCCTGTTGCTGCAAGGAATTAATGCTTACTTATAACCATTATGTGTCCTTTTTTGGTCACATACTTATTGCACTTGCTAATAACAGAATTGTCTCTAGTGTTAAAATATGTATTCACTTCAATATGGGATCCACATCTGGCACAATTCTAATGTCAACAAACTGCATTTGCCCAATGAAATATGCATCATATGCTATATGCTGGTTTGAATGATCTCTGTGGTATTTACGACTTCCTTTTTTTTTTGACTGAGACTGATGGTGCCACTCTTGACCATAGAGGGTCATGGCGTGACTTATAAAATGTGTGAATAGCATCATGCCTCACAATAATATATACATATATTCATAAATGTCACATCTTTATTTGGAATAAAAGCAAACTCATTTTTTCACTTTTAGTTTCAACACTAGCAAAAATATTTAAAAATTATCTCTATAATGCTTGACAAACTAGTTGTTAATAGATTAGAAATTTTGAAACATATATTAATGTTTTTTTTTTTTTTTTTTTTTTTTTGATAATTCTTATTTTTCTGAAAATGTGATAAAGAGTGTACTTATGGGTCTCATCTGTAGTGTCAGTAGATACTTGTCCATAGTTTCAGTTCAGTATAGGAAAATGATGTCAGATACTTTCCCTGGGGTGATTTCTGTAGTTTAAATGATAGGTTACTTTAAGGGCAGTTAACTTCAACAGTAATTTTGTCACATAACTTTCACCAACCCCAATTCTTTGTTCATATTATGCATTGGAAAGAGTTTCTCATAAATAAAACTCTTTATGAATAGTTGGTTTTGACAGTAAGTATAAAGTGTCAATAATAAATGAACCAGCATAGTCTGACACAGCTTTTCTGGACAAAGAATGTGACATGTTGAAGGACCAGTATTTGAGGACTTTCATTTTGAAAAGGCACAAATTTGCCAATGCTTGCATGAAGGAAATCTATAATTTATGTCATAAGATTTAAAATCCTTGCTGTCAATGCTCCTTCATTTTAAGATCTAAGTTATGTAAGGAATTGGCTCGTATCATGAACATTTAGTACTTATAATTGCTGGGATGTACCACTTGTCCCCTAAAGCTAAACCTTAGTTAGCGCAGTCAGTGTATAATTTATTCACACCTTTGTCTGTAACAGTGAAAGCATCCTCAAAGTTCATTGTGCTTGGTGTGCTTTATCACATCTACTACATGACAAGGTGGTTGATTGGTTGTTGTCCCACCTCGACACAATCCACCATTCTTCCTTGGTTTCCATAAGTCACTTGGCTTTTTAAAATGTCTTTGATGTATTGATTTATTTACCTATAGCTGAAACACTTCTTCAGGTACCCAGCAAATGGCAAATTAAAGGTGGCATATGCGTGGATTGTAATCATTTGCCCAGACAATAAGGACATCAATATACAGATAATGGTAAAGAAAATGGTGCACATGTGAAAGAAACCAGCATGCCTTGCTGAACACGTCTACAAACAGTCTGCAGCACTTAAAGGGCCAAATGGTTTTGTCGTTACTTTTGTGGCATTGAACCTCCATTCAAGTATTTTATTGTTGTAAGGGTTGCCAAGCCATGCACTATAAGTCATATTCTAAGAAAAACACTGAGGGAAATACTTGAATTTCTTAACTTAATACTGCTTAGGCACATTTAAGATATGGTAAGTAGACTGGAATGTGCGTTTTCAACTTGCTGATTCAATTTTGGCAGTTTAAATCAAAGGAACATAATTTGGCTACTCCACATGTTAAGATACTTATAAATTTTAATGTAAAAGTAAATGTTTGCCAATAGCTTTACACAAAAGTCCCTTTTTTCAATGCAGTCACATGAGGCTGTGCCAAAGTGGTAAATTCCAGAACATTCTCTGTAATGAATCTGAAGTTAACTTATTTAATGTATCACACTTAACCTTTTTGTTGCATATGTTGATTTACAGTTCATTGGCCCTTCACTGGATTGGATTATATATCCTGTACATTTTGATATCAAGTCAGCATCTACATCTTTTGGTCAAGTCCAAGAGAAAATAGGGATTTCTCAATGTGGATATATCATGGGAAATTTGACTGACATTAGAGATCACTTGGTGACCGTGCAGTGCAAATAGCTTCACCATAAAGAAGAAAGGTAAGTGAGTCTTCATATATTTTTTACTGGACACTCTAAATCAGATATTAATAACAATGAAGATAAAAAACATACCTGTATTTTTTTTGGCATTCTCCAAATTCAACTTTTTATTAGATAAGCCTGATTATAGGGGTGAAGAACATAAAACTTTGTTAAAATATATAAAACATTTTTAGAACTACAAAACACTTTTAAATAGAACATTAAATTCCTTTTCAAGAAAAAAAAAATAGTAATCAATTGAAAATACATTTTTCATGTTATTCATGTTTTACAGTTTTAATTGTTATTCTTACAGTATAACTAGACTAAGTGCTCATTTATTTATATCGAGGAAAAAGAAAAGCCTGCTCTTTTTAGTATCATTTATGATATTATTAATTTTTTGTATTGTGATAAATTATTCTTTTTCTCATAAACATTCCTGAACTTTGTTTTTATACATTCCCACAGTTTATCAATATAACATTCTTTTTTTTTCTTTATTGACTAAAGTGATCAATATTTTTAGTGTTTGAAAAGGAAATTATATAGATATCAAAATGTATTGTGCAAGTACTACTCTTCTGGAAAGAAACCAATTGCATTCTACACTCGAAGTCACAGACTAAGTACCAAAAAGTCAATATAGTCTAGATGCTGAAAGCCTGGTATAGTTGTGTAATTACCTTGGCAACCTAATTTGGTTTGATACTGTACTATGAGAGAGCAATTTGTAAGGGTTCATTTTAGGGTGAACATCTTCAAAAACCAATGGGAAGTAAAATTGGTGGGGGTTGCTTAAGTTGCTGAAAGGTGACAGATATTTTAGCTGAGTTCAAACTATATAAGTGAAACATTTTCCATAGAATTGTTTCATATTGGCATTGCTTGCTGATTGTATGTCAGTAGATATTTGCTCATATATTGATGAAATATGCCTTGTCAGTTAAGAAGTTTGTTTGTCACACAGATTAATTTTTAAAAATGCTAAAGCAACAGAGAGCATAAATATGCAAGCATCAAAAATTATTATAATTATAGAGTTTAGGCTCATATTAAAATATATGCAATGACCCCTACATTCAATACAGTATAAATGTTCATCATTTCAAAGTTTTTTCATAGTTTTCCAATGATCATCATATCATAGTCTGCTGTGTTTACATATGTTGTTAGTTATAAAATTTCCCTGAGTTTTGAAGGCTAAATTTGCCGATAATCATAAATAATTGTCAACAAAAAAGGATACCTAAGCTAAAATAACCATTCTTGATACCATTTGATGACTTCAGTGATCCTCTGCCACTGTATCTACCTACTGGTTTTTGAGGATGATCACCTTGAAGTGAATCCATACATACTGTATTATAACAATATGACGCCAGACCAAATATAGCTTTCTTAGAAAATGAAAGTCACTTTAGAAGCCTCTCTTCAGGCACAGCCAGTCTAATACATCTCATTCTTAATCCATAATGATTACACAATCGTACTGTATGGAAACTCTATCTGAAATGATGAAATGGGGAAAGGGTTCAATACTATAACAATGGACAAGATGAAGTCAAAATTTCTCTGAAACGTATATGGACTTTCTTTGTTGCCTAAAAAGTGATCATTATTTTTCTGGTTTTACGTGTACATGTACTAATTTAATTTATTTCTGTGATGGTTTCAGGAGAGTATCAGCTGGAGTAGATTGTCAACCCAGAGCTTGATTCCTCTGGTTATTCATAGGTCACATTGCAATAAACCCTAAAATTTCATTTTAGTAACCAATTTATTTCTGAAAAAATGGCAGTGTTTGGACATACTGTACTTGATTTGTGTGATGTAACACTGATGGGTTCAGTAATGTACATGTAGAAATATAGAACAGACAAATAAATGAAGGAGCTACTTCTTGTAAAAATCAATATATGGTATGTATCTAGGTTTGAAGTGAGCAGGAGTTTAGAATTATGGTAGTGAACTAAACTGCCCTCTGCTTTTAAATATAATGACTACCGTAGTCGTTCGCGCGTTACATTGATGCATAGTTAACAAACTAATCCTAGTCGTGCTTCAAACAGATTTTTTTTAGTCTATTGGTTTCAGTGTGAACCTTGGATAAGATACGGCTTGGATCAGTACTTAGCAACAGCACAGGGTTGTAGGTAACATCGAGGTCCTTAACTGAATCTGATTTGTTAAGTGTGAACTGCACAGAGGTAACAAGTCTGTCCCCTCTTGGCCCTTTTCTGTGGTAGTGCCATCTATACAGAACAGTTGGTCAATAGCCCTCTTAGAGTGTTTACTTTACTATAGTTTGCGCATTGACTTGCATTGGTAATCTGACCTGCATGCACACTGAATTTTTCTCCTGTGCCATTGTTTAATTACCTATTATGGATTAAAAAGGCAGTACATAACAAGCAAATATGGTACGAGGAATAAATGGAGAGTAAGTATTGTTATAGGGTTGTCAATATTGAGTAGTTACAATACAAGTGATGGGGAACACAAACGTGTGTTTGGGAGTGAGTCTGATCAAATTGAGTCTGTATTTGAATAAAGCAGCAACTAAGGCAACACCATGCTCTAAGTTGACAACAGCATCATCAAACTATATCAGTGTGTAGTGGTGCGTATTCGTTTCCAGCATTTGTGTTTTCGCAAGTCTGGGAGAAAAGACCCATTAGTTAAGGGCCTTAAGTTAAAGCCCTATTAAGAATGTTACTGCGCGTGGACATTGGGTCAGGATTTTATCTAGGACAGGATTAAGGGTACCTGAGTATTCTTGTTCGTGATATGAATTAATGAATTCTATTTCTAAGGTAGGTTTTATCAGTATGACTTTGATTTTACAAATCTGCTGCATCCCCTTTTTTTTTCTTGCTTTGTTGACTGTTATGTGATGGGTTATTGAAACTTTGTTATCTTTGAGAAATTTATTAAACACGCCAAGGGAATTAGCCCAGGTCGTCATTTTTATCACAAAATAAATGTTGGTTGAACATATTTGCTCAAGCATCCATCATGTCAGTGAAGTGATAAAGTGGTTCGAACAAAAGAAGCTATGTAAAGGTATTTCAGTTGCAGTGTGTTTTTCTGCATTGTGAACTCCCGCAGCACATTCTGTGAAAATCTTTTAATGAATTCACATGGGACAGGTACAGAGGTTTTTTGCAGCCCAGTTCTTTTATACAAAATGAAGACTGCCACACCACATTTCATTACTAAGTAGCCACAGGGGAGTGACGTCTCTGATACACATCTCTAATAGATCGAAAATGATGATAGCCTATAACAGAGTAAAAATTTCAAAGTTGAATATTTAAAATCTTGTATCTCTATGCATGTGAAATAAAATTTTATTTCATTTAACCTATATATGTTATAATCTCTTATAATTTATACAATTATATATGAAATATACCTATCTGTCATAGATTTAGTCATTCGGTTATATGCTTGTTTAGAGTTTATAAAGACATATATGCCTTTAATGTAAGCTCCATCACAACACAAACTTACAGTGACTATCTATTATCTCAGTGAACCATTCACCAAGTGCTCTGTTAAAATGATTTCCAATATTTCACACCAGACATTTTACAGCTGTAGTTTAATACAAGGCACTGGTAGCTGCATGTCAGTGATGGAGTGGAGGTCACTAGAAACAGATAAGGATGATAATCATGTGAAAATGTAGCTAGGTAAGGCCTGGCAGAAGGAGAAGAAATATAAGTATCCAATTGGTCATAGCACACTTTATGAAGAAAAAATTTTGATGACAGTGTCATATGAAATTAATCTGTGTTGTTAGAATAGGCTTTTGTTGAAGAAATATTTTAAACTATAGTGAGGTTAAAGTGTTTTCTTTTTGTCACATACATATTGAATTATCACTAACACCTTGAAATACAAAGGCAGTCATTGACTTATTATGATCTTAATAGACATTGTGCTGATAAATAATGCAATGGAAACACTAATGAACAGAAAAGTGCCATCTGTTTGTTTTAAATATTATAAATTACACTCATCTTCAGTACTGGGGTATTGTTATTTTTATAGCTTATTTGTAGTGAGTTAGAATGAAAAACATAAAAATTAAAAATATGAGAAAATTAAAAACACTTTATTTGGATCAAGCACAGTTATAGGAATTGCTAATTAATAATTGTTCATTAGAAGGGTGATGGGTCTTGTTATAAAATCATCAATATGTTTTTCTTTTTTAGAAAAGTGAATAGGAAATTTGTTAAAAACAATTATGTGTTCAAATTTTTAAATCTTCTTTGCCTTACAATCTTCTGTTAAGTTGCACTTTTTGGAATCAAAATTACTTTAATGTTTTTAATTTAGAATCTATACAATGCACAACTAAAATATGAAAAAAAAATGCAAGCATTTTGTCTGTTTCTTTCTAGATATCAATAACTTCTTCATTATGAAATAAATCTGTTCAGTAATTCACCTGGAATTGATAATCACTATAATGTCAGGGCCTTCTCTGGAATGATGAGCAGTAATTACTAGAAAGGTTATATTAGATTTTCCTGTACCTTTCATTACATGCATGAAGCATTTGTCCTCTCTTAATATCTTTATAATTGCTCGACTGGTTGCTATGGAAACATGGATTAGAGACCCCATTGTTTTCTACAAATGGCAACTGATATTGGTGTTTCTAGTGACAGATAGGTTTTTTTTTCTCATTGTTATCAGCTGGCATAATACTTTGATAAGCTGTCATTGGTGTTATTAAATATGGTCTTTTTTTTTTTGCTAAATGATGGAAAAGTGATGGTAGGGTTTTAGAAAGACACCGTTCTGCTGAAACCATAAGCAAAACCTCAACCTAACAGATAAAAGAAAATTGGTCTCATCAATCAATTTTTGACTTAATTTACGATGCTACTGCTATTCATCATGGTGATGTATAGAATGATTTGCAATCGATTTATCAATAAACAATACCAAGTACACAACATACGTCACTATATATTGTCTCCTGTCAGGCTCTCTTCATGTTTTTCTCGTGAAGCACCAGTTTGTGATGTCATTGATGAGGACAAGTGATGTCTGTATCAAAGAAGTAAAGGTAGATACTAACGTCATCATCATTATAGGGCTTCTGGACAAGTTATCACTTACCAAGGTCTGACATGCAAGCAAATGACATTTTTAACAATGAATAGCTTTGAGTGGTAGTACATGTACAAGGTTTTGTCGTCAAGGGATTACATTTCTATATATTAACTCAGCCAGCACTAAAAGCCCTGCCCATTTTGTTATGTTTCAGTCCCACGTTGCTGGATACAGGATGTCAGATCCTGCACGCCAGATGAACTCGAGGCGTCTCCCTCCTTTACCTGGTAGCGGTTCTTTTACAGCAGGCAACAGTCGAGCAGCTGGCATGCATGCACCACGCAGCCCAAGGAGCGCCCGCTTGCACAGATCTCAGAATAGCCCCACGTATCATGCCACTTCTCCACGCGATGGACACACTGGTGAAATGCTCATTACAGGTAGGAATTAAGTCTCCATATGGAAAGACCTTGTTGCACTGTTCCTGAAAGGGGGGAGGGGGTGGGAGCAAGGAGTTTGATATGAATTTAGATAACATAACCAGAAGAGTTAGTTTTGTGAAAAAATGTTGAAAAAATACAAATAGTATGGTGAATGTTTCGCAAGATTGGAATTTATCACTCAAACAGGCAGTGAGTCCATTGCAGTGCTAATTGTGAGACTAATATAAGTGTACTTTGTGTTACTGAAGTGGCTAGAGGTGTAAGTTGACGCCAAACGATTACTGAAGATTATTTTAAGATATATGTATTTATGTAGCATATTGAACTTTTTTTTCTTTAAAGAATGTAACATCTGTATTTTGTGAGATAAATTTCTTAATTTTGTACACAAAAATTCTTTGAATTATTATACCAATACGTGTATATAGATTTATTGAAATGTTAGTTTTCTGCCCTCTTATTTTCAAATGACTTTTCTAAGTATATTTTGTTTTTTTTTTAAATCTCAAAGAGTTAATATATGATGGTAGCTGCCCAAAGATACAGTTTATCTTACTGTAAAATCTGATGATACAACGAATCTGGCTAAAAGGGGTTATTACAGTGATTTATCCCTTTTAGTGTTCATTTTCTTCAGGTCACAGCCCAAGCTATTATCACCAAGATGCCAGTCCTGTGAAGAAACATGATTGGTATGAGAGCAATATGGAGGCTTTAGGTGAGTCTTTTTGATGGGACAGAAAAATTTAAAAGCTTGACAGTTATGAAAATATAACTATTCGTTGAGGTATAATGAAGAAGTCCACTGTCTTTTGATGTTATTGTATTTTTTATTAGCTAAAGGAGAGTATAGGTGGTGGGTTAGGTCTTTCAAAATGCACCCATATAAAAGTCTGATAAACTTAGTCATAGAGTAAACCTCTGATTTTTTTTGAAACATCACTCAAGTTTTATGTATTGTTATCATATTATTGCCTGCCTGCTAGGATATAAATTTTATTTAACTACAGTACACAGCCAACAAATTAATGTGTGATAGTAAGTAGTTGAATTTATCCTTTTTATCAAATAAATGGAAAGTTGACTTTAATAAGGTATGTTAAATGCCCCCCCCCCTCAAAAAAGTCATTCAAAAAGCTCATGTTCATCATAATCACTTTTATAGTAACACATATTTTAAAGTGCATACACCATGATTTTATAAAAACTTTAGAAGTGTAAAATCTGAGCTCTTGCTTGAGTACTTTTGAAAGCAAAACAGGTCAATGGATGAAGTAGCCAAGGGTTAAAATACCCCTGTGAGACTTGATCAATCAATTTAACAAATTAATTGTAACTCATCATGCATGGCCCGATCAATTTGTTGCGAGTTGAATATAAGGATAAATTAACTGCACTTTCTTCAGAGTAATATTCTCCTTTTTCACTCTGAATGCAAAATAATGTGCATTTTTCAACTACATTAAGTTTTTACATCAATATATTGTCACATCTGATGAATGAGAAATGTCCACCGTAGTCAAGTCAATGAAGATCTATTGATTTTATCCTTCTTATAGAGACTTAGAAGTGTAGCCAGTAACCACACTGAATATGATGAGAAGTATATACTAGATACATACAATGATACCAAACCTAAAAAGATTGATTTTTATCTTAAAGGAAGTCATGGAATAGTTCTTGTCATATCAAATCAACTGTGTAAAAGCACTACAGTGTGGCATAACAAAAGACATCCAACCATCTTTAAAATGATACATTGATCTGAGCATAATTGTATCATAGATATATATACAAAATCTGCAATATCATTAAGCTGTATCTCTATTATGAACTTTTTGTAAATGAACTGAAATATGTCTAAGGTCCTCTTAGAGCAAATATATGAATTTCATTTCTATGTCTTTGGTGATTGAAAGTTTTAGTTATGATATACTTAGATGGATAAGTAAATGCTGATAGCTTGTACACTTTACAGTCTAAGACTTTTGTGAAAAGTGTAAACTATACACCAACCAACCCTTTGTTTTTTCAAAATATTCCCATTTTCATTTCAACGTACTAAGATAATCATTTGACAATTTTTAAGATTGTTAGAATTATATGTATGAAATTGATTTGCTTAGAATGGAACTTATTTGCCATGTTTCCTTGATTTGAAAATAATACGGCATAATGTCTTTCTTTGTAAGAGATACATCAATTGGATACAACTTAGAGCTGAATGTTTTACACTGAACCCTATTAAGATCAATAGTGATGGATTCAGCAATAAACAGATGCAATTTTCTTCATCCAGAAGTTATCAGGTTATCAGTGATAGGTTATCACCATTGATCTGGGCATGTTCAAATCATCTATGCCTGTGGAATACTTAGTGGTTTTTCTCAATAGGAATTTCAAATGAGGTGTGAAAATCTATTGATCAGTGGCTGTTTGCCTCAGGAGTTAATTGTGCAAGTCAAAGGTAAAGTTTACTCACACTGAGCTAGAACAAGAGATTTTTTTATCAGATATATTTCATGCAATAGTCTGAATTTCTATGCAGGAAATGAGTTATACCTTATACCTTTGAGCATGCATATGGGATATAAAGGAGGGATGGTACTTGTAGCTTGTGATGTGATTGATTTTCTGAAGTGACACTATTTGAAATAAATGCATCCAGCACATAGGTTTTTACCTCGCTGTCCCATTGTTCAGGTAGTGAAGCTTAGCTTACTCACACAATTTACTTCTCTCGACACACTATGAAATTTTGCGCACACAGCAATGCTCACAAAGAAAGCAAATTTGACATTGTGAGCAATGTCAACAGAGTTTATAGAGCATTTTCTGCATTATTATTCCTCTGGATTGTTCTGCTGGTGGATTGACGTCAAATATTGACTGGTCATACAGCTAGCTTGGAGACCCATCAATACCAAGTTCGAGCTTTGGTCACTTAAATAGGCCAGCTCATAATGGGACAATTAAGACTATGTCCTAGTTAATACAGACTAAACGGCTGTGAATATAGAAAAATTGCATTGTAGGCTGAGGGGGCAGGGTACCCCTGTACCAATGTTGTTCCCATGTGTTCTTAACCCTTCCAAATTTTATGCTTATTGTGTTAAGCAGTAGGTATTACAGGTGCTATTACTTGTATTCTTTGCATGGTATAGACATATGCAAACAAATCAAAAGTCTGTTGCCTGAGAAACTAATGTGAAATTATTGAACTGGGAGTTTGTCCAACAATGATGTCATAAATTCAGGTTGCCTTTTTTGTAGTACCCTGGAGAAACAATTCACAGTCTTTAAGGTGGTTTTCTCACATTTGTGTGTATCCCTGATCTGAAGGGGTCTAAATATCATACCAATTGAAATACAGAATGTAAATAATAAATAGTTAAAAGTGCAAGAGACACACTGAAAAATTATTATCATTTTGTTTATACCAATAGTAATTAATATTTAGATGAACAAGTTCACAGAGATAATATTTACATACTTCAGATAAGTTATTATAGTTTTAAAAACTGATGTTTATTATCTTGATAATCAGTCAATTTGAGCAAATCTGAAACAATGTTTCAAGCAACTTTGTTCAGAATGATTGTACATTCAGTCCATATTTATCAAAATACTAGTCATTCTCTCTCTCTCTCTCTCTCTCTCTCTCATGCATAAAATCTTTTGAGATTTTGTCTGCATACATATAACTTAGTAAAATACTTTTTCCTTTACTGTTTCAGATACAAACCCCGAAATTGTTACTTCATTTTTGAATGAAAATCCAGATTACTTGGAAAGTTACATTCACACACATGTAAACAGGGACACATTAGAACGCTGGTTGTTACGAAGGACACAGAAGCACAAGCACAAGAATGGTAAGCGACATAAAGATAAGGGGTTTCCTTTTCCACATTTAAGTGGTTTCAGTTGTGATGTTTCACACTTTAGAAAATAAAATAAAAGCTTTTCAGAATCATTTTCTAGCTCCAGACTGTTAGATGTAATTTGAGCATAGTTGCCAAAATATCAAATGCTTCCCTTAATTAAAGTTAGTTATGATCCAATTTGTTTTTTTAATCACATTTAAATCAAATTAAAGTAACTTTCATTATTTTGCCTTTGTTCAAATCTATTACTTGATAGGAAATACTCCCTTTCACTTCAAAGGTTTATGTCTCTATGCTTAAGAGTTATTTTCTATGCCTACACATCCTTCAAAGCTGTTTATCTTATAAGTCCCTTATATAAAAGTACCTATTGTCGATATTTCCTTCTGAAACGTACAGGAAGACATGCTGGTCCAAACATTATGGGAAGCATTAAGAAACAGATTATTTAATTAAAAGAGGCATGAAATATTAAATCCAAGAGCAAAGACAGGCTGTGCAATGAATCTGCAGTTGGAGAAAATTATCTTTTTCATGGAAAATGCCATGTGGCAGGAAAATCCCAAATGGGATACCTTTAATAACCCGATAGAATGGTAAATATAATATTTCAGAAGAAAACTAATAATGCAGCACTTATGCTGACATGCAGGATATTAACTGTCTTTTCTATGAAACAATTCAATGCATGTGGAAAAATTTTAGTGAAATGTTGAGTACTTATTGCTAGCAAAGTGTTGCTTGAGTACATCTGAAACAAAACCCATATGTGCTCTGAAACACAGATTTTTCAGAAGAATTAGCTTATTCAAGAATGCCTTCGGATTGATTAAACCTATTTTATCACTCAGGAAAAAATGCTCTGATCTATATATATTAGTTTAAAGCAAGCAAGGTTCGGTTGCTAATGAAAAAATTGCCACAAAACAGTATCCTAGATATTTGATGAAGTAGTCAGCCTTTTGTTTCTGTGTTGGTTTACCAACAGTTAGGAATGAAAAGAATACTTAATATTTTCTGGTAAATTATCCTCATCCACTTGAGTTTTTGTAGTCAATGTTTATGAATTAACTGCAAGCAGACCATATCTTGTATTGTTAAATGTATTCAGTAGGATGGACACATAATTAGTTATAAAGGGCTTTATGTCAAGGTAGATTTGTTGGTTTAATTAAAACATACGTGACTTAAGGCCATTTCTTGTTGGTCAATACATATCTGACTTCATTACCTGGTCTAGACCCTTTGTCGCAAGAGTGGTAACTAATCTGTTATAACATTGATTATATATAGAGCTATGTTTTAAACAAAGGGTCCTGAGATAGATTTTTTTTGCACACAGTGCACATACCTGCACTCATAATGTCATAGAACTGTTGAGGGGGTACCTCGGTATATACCCGGACATGTACTCACCTTATTACTGACAGCAAGCAAAAACGATTGATAAAGTTACACATTATTCAGTGAGAGTGAAAATGTCCTCTAAGTCAGTTTCAGGTTTCTTGGTCACCAGAGAATTATCAGTACAAGCAAGACATTCTTCGTGTAAGGTGATAATGTACATGCAAAAGAACAAAATACACCCCCAGAATATAAATATAACTGTCAGAAGTGCCCTTTATGTGTAATTCATTATACAGCTGGTACTGTATACTAGCTGTAGGCAAATTTGATTTTGTATTTCCATACGAGAAAAATATCAAAGTCAAGAAAAAAAAAATAGAATGTACCCTAAAAGTGCATCTCTGCCATGCAATCATGATAGAATAAAATCTTTAAATTATTAAAGAAGACCCTAGTGCAGTTGGGATCTGTCATGCCTGAAAAATTTTCAACGTTTTTGATATATTTCTTCCGCAAACAAATGAACAAACAACTCTATGTCGATGAAAACAAGTTCCTTCTTTGACAAAGGTAACAATTACCAAATCCAGCACCATTATGACTGAAATGGTTTTTAGACAAACTCCAGGAGTTGAACAGTCTGATAGCAGACACCCGCTGTAATCTCTGAGTTTGTTGTTAGTTGTTACAAGCAAGTAGGTTGTAGATCTAAGGTGGTAACTGTGTGAACCAGACAATTGGCAGCAATAAAACTGTATATTTTTAGTATGTTTTAATAGATACGGTGCTGGACAGTGTGTTTGTACTTTTGATTACTTTACTATCAGCTGTATTGAAGACAAGTGCACCCATTGCAGCATGAAATATTAAGAATGCATTAAATTGCTAAGTTAAATCAATTGGTTGTTATATCATTTATATATAACAGTGTTATTTGAAGTCCCTTTTAAGAAAATTTGAATGGGAACCAGTACAACCATTTAAAGGTTTTTAAAAGGTGTAACTGAAAGTAGACTGAAGAAATAATGGATATTTCCCAAGATTTTTTCATGATTTTTTCTTCATACTGCAAAGAAATTTATTTGGCAATTATCATAATTTATGAGTTAAAAACCCCAGGCCATAAGCCATAGCCCCAAGACTTCCTGAAAAGAATCAAATGTATTTAGCACAGCTGGTCTTAAACTTTGTAGGAAAATATTCTACATAGGTATAAGGCTAGACAAAATGCTTCTCTGTAAATAGAGTTGGTATCCAATTTAATTTTTTACTTTTTAAACATATTATGTTTAGTTAGCATATCAGGAATTTTTTTCTCAAGGGTGGAGGGCAATGTTAGAGCATAAGAATGAGAGCCTAAAAGTTTTTTACTAGGATTATTTGTAAATTTCTCCAACTTATAACTGTTAACTAAACCAACAGTGAGTGCATTTTTCCTTTAAAAAATAGGCACAAAAACCCATATTTTCTTCAAATTGAGGCTAAGCCACACTTGTTAACCAACTTATCAATTTGCCTGGCCTTTTGGCACAATTTTCATGTATTAGCCAATATTTGTTGGCTGCCCCAGCCCTGCAGTTCAACATTTATTCAAAAGGAACAATTGCATTGACGTCAGGTTTGGGAAATCACCTGCCTTGATATATAATTTTGTTGTAGCTTTTGTGTGAACTATGCCACTCATGCTGGTAGTTCTAAATTGACTGTTTTTTTTAAATGGCCACAGCATGGCCCGTTTGTAAACCTTTGTGAAGGATGGAAACTACAGTCTGGAAATTATGAAATAAACTACATTTTAGTGTATTATATTTTTGTTATTCTTTTACAAGTAGTACTGGTACTGCATTCCATGATTCTTCTATGTTCATGTTTTACCCCATGAACTTTGATAGTTGAACACAGACTATGTCTCTGACAACACCGCTCAGTGTTTGTGGAGTGAAAAAAGTTGAAACCTAAACTAATATATCTATACATTAATGAATTTTGTATTTTTCCTATGCATTGTAGGTGAAATACCAGATGAAAGGAGAGAAACTGTGGCAAAATGGAAGGTAAATGAAATATCAAATTATAGATTGTAAGTAATAGTATTTTTTTTTTAATTCAATGACTGAAGTAATTGCATTTGGTCAATCTAATAATTGACAATTTTTTATCATTACCAAGTGACATTTTTATTTCATTTCAGTTTTATATGCATGCAGACAAGAGGCAATTATTACAGGATCTTACTCAGAGCATCACACACAACATGAAGAAGCCCCATGTGCTACATGAGTTGATAGTGTGTATGGCATCAGGTAGGCTGGGAAAGAACTCTGTGGATTAAAACATGAAAACAGATAACTTATGCCACCATGTTAAACATTTGCCACCCACTCAAAAGAATATGGAAACTAAGGAAATACAGATATTAAAATGAGTATTGTTGACAAACTTTTGCACAAATAAATATAGGTTACCAAACAAATTAAGCTGCATGTGTGTAAGCTGTGAATCAGGTGTGATTCTAAGAATAACCAAATCACAATTTTACATACATTTTAAAAGAAAATTTATATGAGCTTAATAAAAAAATTGGGAACAGAATTTAAATTGAGGTGAAACAGGACTGATTTTTCTATTGCAAGTGAAACTGGTAGACATATCAACAATATATATTTTTGTTATCTTAATCGCAAAAAGTGGCAACCATTCCTTTTTCAATTTAGATTATATTAGAATGAAAAAGTTCTAATAAATGGGATCTTTCAAGCTTACAGGAAAAGGTTTTTACTTTCCTGAAACATTTTTGTCTTTGTCCAAAATGATTATGGGATGGCCAAAGAAGACATGTTCCAATAATGTCTGAGCATTAATGTTTAGCTTGAGGCTGTGTTGGTTAAAAGTTATCATGTACACAGTAAGAATGGGAATTCTTGGTAATGATATGCTTTTCTTATTGTTTCTCAGAATTGACTCCAAGATATTTTTCACATTACATTCAATCAGATTTTTCAATGGACTTTATTTAATATCAGGAAAATGGTTTTAAGGTGTCTTTTTTTTTTCAACCAAAAACCCCATTCAACCTTCTTTTCATCCTATTGATACAGTCCTGGTCTAGAAGCTAATCACTACTATTATTATTGTCCCCTTCTCATCACAGTCTCTTGACTCCACAAATCTGTGAACCCTGTTCTCTTCTAGATATGCCCAGAGCAACCAATTGATTAGTTATATTAATTGCAATTGTATCTCTTCTTAGAGGTTAAAAGTTCATAGAAAATTACTTAGTTGCCCATGGGGACATGTGATAATTGCAGTCACCATTTCTGTAAAAGAAATTACAGAAGGATTTGTCTTTGAAGTTAACTCATAAGTTTGTCTTATTTTATTGAATGGTTAATTTGGGTATCATATTTATTCAGAAGAAATCAGTATCATAAAAGAATGAATTACTTCAAACTGTATACTTTATAAGCATTCTGGACATTAAAATTGTTTCAGATCAAAAACATTACATTTAAGCATAGATAAAGGTTTTTAAATCTATTACAAGGTAACAAAATAATACAGTTTTAATACATGTAAACTTTGATGCCATTGAATGTGCAGATTTTATTATCAAGTTTCACAGATTTTGCCATCACAATCCAAGGCTAGTTCTTACTGTGCAGTTTGAAATGATACACATAGGTATATCTATCTGTTAATATAGCACATTCCTCCGTGTTGCCTCTCCATCTTTTCTAAATGTCAGAGCAGTTTGAACATGGCATTTTCACCTTTAGCTTATTAATGATAAATAATTGCCAGTGGATTGACTTGTTTTCTATCCTTTGACATTCCAGCTGTCAATGCAGATGGTTACAATTTGTACATAGTAGATGAAGATGGGCAGGTAAGTTCGCTTTGCATTATCCATAGAATATGTGGTGATCATACAAACTGACATTTAGTGTTGACTGGCCTTGAATTGATTTAAAATATTTATATGATGTTTTGTATGATGTTACTTGTTATATTTTACAAGTGCATATCATGCTGGTGAGATGGTAAATTGTACTGAGTTTTTTTTTTTTTTTTTGAAAGTGATGAAGAATCTTTTGCAGGTGCAGCTCAACTTGATTTTTTGTTTTCATCTTTCTGCCCAAGTCTGATCACATCTTTATGAACCCTAAAGGTTAAAATGCACAACCTTGTTTGTCATCTAAATGTGGTCAACCAATTCATGGCCAGCTTTCTGTTAATTCGAGTAAACAGGTCCAAAGACAACATACTGAGAGTACTGCCTTCACTTGACTACAGAACCACACAAGTCATTAACTTTTGATCTTTATATGATAGATTGCATTGAACTGATTTCACCTCTGCTGGTTAACTCTTCTTAATGAAGCAAATAGAGCACTTCGTGATTTAAAAATACCTGTTTAATTCATAATCATATTTGGGTACCAGTTTCCACAACTTCATGTCAGATGTTACTAGTCTTATACCGTAATCTGCTGGATAAGATATTATGGCTTTCCTTGAATTTTGTTTATCTATTTATTTTGAAAAAGTCAGTAGTTTCTAGAAACATTTTTAACCAGAGTTGTTTTTTTGTTCTTTTTTACTTTGGATTTGTCTTTAGGAACAAATTTATATCCCCTGTTGATGAATTATACTTGCAATTGAGAATTATTGTAATTTTAGGGTGAGAAGGTCATACCTATTTCCCACAGATACCAGTAATTGAATGAATGAGAAAACTTATGTAAATATAAAAACTTTATGTGATTAAATCTTTTTATTTCTCATTTAGGACCTATATTATTACAAGCCAAATGCGTCAAGGTAACTAAAAGCTATCTTTTTAAAACATGTACAAAGTGTATTGAAATCGAACTATGACAAGATGAGTTTTGCATCATCATGATCCACCTTCATGTCACAAAATCAGTGATTTGTTTTCCTGTGTCTCTCTAACTATTCAAACAAAGTTTCTTCCAAAAAAGATAATATTATGAAATAAAAATGAAAACTCAAGAGAGCTAAACAGTCATTAAAAATTGCTTGTTAGTTTTTGAAGATATCACACTTCTTTATTTATTTATTTTTTTCATTTTAGCACCAAATCACATTCTCCGTGTGTACGGAGAATCGGGGCAGGCACCACTCTGGCAGCCTATGTAGCACACACCAAACAGAATGTGAGATTAGGAGAGATGTTCATGGTAAGCACATTCTACCAGACTGTATGGTAGCATAGGAACTGGTCATTAATATTCCTTGCCTCTTAAGCAATAAAAAGTTAAATTTTTGTTGGCAAATTTTTAGCCAGTTTTGTCCACCTCAATGCTTAAACATTCAAATTTATTCATAAGACTTCTTGGTGGGCTGGAGATGGTCTGATCATTTCAGCTGACAGACACATCAATTTTTATCAAAATTTCAAATTGACCAGTTTTAAAGTTATCGTTGTGGACATAGGTCACAAAGGCATTCGCATATTTATGGCCATTTTTGTTATTCTTTATTTCCCTCTGGGTTCACACTGTCCTATGAGTCAGTCAGTCAGAGCTGATTGCAATTTGTCAAAACTGATCAATTGCCTGATAACACAATTTGAACCCAGGTCTTGTTATTATGGACCTTGCTCATGAGGATTGGTATTATCATATAGGAAATGCCCCAGTTATTAAGAGGTTTTTCTTGACACTTGTACTTTCAAATGAATAGCTATAAAAAGTGATGATTTTGTGAATGGTTCCGATTGAAGTGTATACCAGTATATTATATAATAGTAAAAGCATAAATGTAAGACCCAATGCCACTGCTGCACATCAGTATTGGCAAAGTTATAAGTTCTGTGTGTGTGTGTGTGTGTGTGTGTGTGTGTGTGTGTGTGTGTGTGTGTGTGTGTGTGTGTGTTAAAATCATCTTCAGATATAAACATTGCACAAGTGCTCATTTTGTTTCAGGATGAACATTTCCCAGAGGGAATACCTATGAGTGGTGATACAATACAGTCAGTCCTGGCCCAACCTATTGTACATGCAGATGGGCTAGTTGTAGGTAAGTAATAAATTTGCCCAAGCAAACGAAGGTGGAAAGTTGTTTCCCTGTTCATCTAGCTGATGCTCCATACTATTTATTGATACATGTGTGTTTTATATTTGCACATACAAGTACAAAAAATTGGAATTAAAAAAGTTTCTTTTCGCAATATTAAGCAAATATTTTATTGTGTTTATGATACAAGCAGAAGCAGAAATGGAGAGGTTTCACCTTAAACCACTGAGCCTCATGAAATACAATTATAATAGAGAATTCAGCAATTTATTTAGGAAATACATTTGCCCATCAGCTGAAAATCTCATAATTTCAACTAGTATCAATTAACAGACATTTATTGGTGGATGGTAGTTTTTTTTTTTTTTTTTTTTTTGCTTGTTTGTTTGTTTAATTAGTTATCAGTTATTTAGTTATATCCCCTTTTTTGTTAAACTATTTAAAAATGTCTTTTATTTTACTCTGGTATTCATTGAGATACGAGCATTACTTCCTTAGAACAACAAAACTAATCAAAACAAAAAAAAAAGACTGTGGTGAATGCAACCTCTAATAATGATTTTTAGGTATCTAATATACCTCCAATGACGCAGGTAAAAGAAAATAAAGTAAAGAGAGTGGTGGTCTAATTTTGTAATGTGACCTGTTGAGTCAACACTGGCCAGTGATAGTAACTGGTGAAATTTGGGTTAAATTTCATTGTTTATGTAGGTAGCCATAGGCTGGACAATGAGTTCACATTGGCCAACATTTTACCATGGATTTTATGTTGAATATAATCCCTTTTAATAAAGTGAGAGACCAAGTCTCAGTTTTGTTTACAGGCTGTGTGACTTTTGTGTGTGTAAGTATTTAGTTGCTTCATAGATTAGTTAGATCTACAGTTTGATGCCTGAGGCACAGTTGATAAATATTACATGGACTTCTCAGTGTTGACATGGTCCATGTGTGTTTTACTCAAATATCCCTCTATAGGTCTGTTCATATCACAAAATAAAGCAGGAACTGGAATGTTTTAGCCTGCCAAAGGCAAACAGTAAAGCTTTTAAAAGTCTTTAAAGGTACTCCATTTGAAGTACATGTATGACACAGCTCAAGAGCTTTTGAAAAGAATTTTTTATGTTAAAAAAACATTTCAATCAAAATGCAAGAAGTGTTCTTATAGAAAGTTATGTTGTGTTATGAATGCACCGATCAGAATTTTAGGTGCTAGCACATAATAACATAGGTTCTGCAAGAACATATGTCTTGATTCAATCAGTCATGTATAACTGTTAGATGTACATGTAGCCAGCTCAGCTGTAGGTCACCTGATTTAATGACCAAAACATCATAAATTTAGATGAAATAATAAAACAACAAATGTAAATGTTACTGTATGGCAACACTCAATTGAGGATTTTAAGACTGAAAGTTTAAATGATTTGATGGGATAATAGTTTGGAATACAGAATTCCAATTTGACCCTTTACTTTTAGTACGAAAATTGATTTTTTACACACTCATTCCTACACTCACAAACTGCAAACACACACACACGTGCATGCATGCACATACACACTTTCTTAATTCTTTTAAAATTCTTTAATTAAAAACTCATGTTTATATATATATATATGTGTGTGTGACTTTTTCCAGGTGTTGCAGAATTATACAGGAAGGTAGGAAATCGTGGCTTTACAGAAGATGAAGAAGAGGTGAGCAAGGGAGTTGCTGTTTTTAGCAATCTCGATAAATAATTTCTGGTTTAAAATGCTTTACCTTTTTCTTTTACTTTTGAGTCAGTTTTATTTTGCATTACCAGGACAGTGTAGAGTGATGTGTAATATATTTATATTATTTGATGTAAAAAATGTCACATACTTTACTGGATTAAGCTTTATCAAAGAAGTGATATTCAGTTTCACATTTTAATTTGAAAGATGACTGTGTAGTTTTTTATGTAAACCTTAACATTTATTATCATTATTAATTTTTGCTATATTATGTTGTTTTTATGACCATTTCACAGTCCAGTCAAGATCTATGATCCTTTTAAGTTTATATATATATATTGTGACAATTTGGTAGTTCATATTCATATGTTGCATGTGCAGACAGTAGAAATCAGATGAGCCAAATAACATAAGTTTTTGTCTTCTTGTCAGACTTTTCCACCTCACACCCCACTTTTTTTCAGAAAAATCATTTGACATTAAAATATTACGGTTTTGGAATTCAATAGATTATCAAAATTTATGAAAAAAAGTTGTTTGAGAAAAGTTGAAATACAGTTATATTCTCCTCCCCTGTAAGGAAAAATGGGCTCATCAGTGAGACTTTTTAAAATCCAGCCTAGTATACTGGTGAGCATACGAACTCCCGAATACTATGACATACAGTACCCTCTACCAGGGCGACAGATTGATTTTTCACAGATATTCACAGATATGTCTCTAGATAAATAGACAGTCATTTGGCTCTGTGGATTTTTCTGTTTTTCCCTATCTAATCTGCCACCCTGGTAGAGGGTAGATATACAGGATGTTATATCACCAACTTTTCAACTATAAGTTTTACTTTAAAATTTCTGGATAAAAAAAGGGCATCTGAGTTTCACTTGCATTTCTCGTGTCTATTGCACATATAGTAAATATATAGTATATAGTAAACAAAGCAATCATGTACAAGTATTATTATCACCCCCATTTTCATACATAGTATCACTGTTGCATGTGCAGTTGCAATACACATCAATACAGCTTATGTCTCTGTTATGTCTATTATCACTGCAGCATGTTACATTTCATTTTTGTTATTTGTACCATTGTTATATCCCTGCTCATTTGTTGTATGTAACTATGTCCCACGCATGTTCATTATAGCATGCATTACTGTTTGTCGTACAAATCATTGTCACATGCATGTTATTATAGCATGTTGTTACTGTTTGTTGTATATATCATTGTCACATGCATGTTATTATAGCATGTTGTTACTGTTTGTTGTATATATCATTGTCACACGCATGTTATTATAGCATGTTGTTACTGTTTGTTGTATCCTCAGGTGGTGGCCAGTTACCTGTTATTAGGCAGCATGATAACAACCATACATGAGGTACAGTATACATAGCATGTCATGTGGTATGCATGTCAGCTTCTTAACTTGGTATCATGGAATTAGGAGCTCTCTCCTCCTTCCCCATCCTCCATCTCTCTCCCTCTATCCTTGGTAATCGGCTTATTGTAACAGGACCATATACTGAGTATACAGTCCTACCTTCTGAGGCCAGCCCAGATGTTTGGAACTTCATGGACCTCAGTAGTCTGCTGCTTGGCTTGCAACTTTAAGCGTTTCAAAGTCAAACAGAATGGTTGGCACTAAGTGTCATCATAGCTTTACTGAGTAGAAAGGTTTGCATGTTGAGGTGTGCCAAATTGTCACCCTGAGTTTCTGAACATGACATTTTGGATTAATTAGATTCCACCTGGGAAGTAGGGAATATTATCATTGAAACTATCGGTGTACATAGATCGATCCAGCTCTTGTTGAATGCAAGCAGTTTAACAGATAAACAGGCCTCCTCCTTGTGTTGAGTAGAATGCAGAAAAGCTGGTGTTTATACAAGCAGCCACTACCTTTGTTAAAGCCCTGCAAAAACTAACTAAATGCTATATATCATGAAACTCAGGGTACACAGCTCAAGAATGTGCATGATGATTTTATTTGTCTGATTGTCCCCAGAATTGTGTTATGTTAATGATGTATGCCAGCAATGGGTTTTATTAGTTAAATTTAATATAATGGTAGGTGATTTTTGAACATTCTGTCATTGCTTAGATTGCATCCAGTTTGGTCATATGGGGCACTGTGGCATTTCATTCTGCAGAGGTATATACCTATTATATATATACATATATGGGAGCATGAGCACATGGTTGTTTATTTATTTGTGCATGTATTATTGACCTTTTAAATTATTGTACAAATTGATGGTTTGATGTACAGAAATCACTACAGATAATTATTTTGTCACTGTGCCTAAGCTACACAAGATTTTCAAAAAATATAATACATGAGAAATTTATTCCCAAGACCCATGTTACATAAATTTCTCTTGGTGTTTCAAAAACTGTATATATTAAAATGACTTTGATGCTTCTGTTCTGACATGATATTTGACTTAAAAAAAAATTGAAATTTATCAGTAGTAGTTTTATGCTCTGTACATTTACAAAACTGTTCTTGCATGACATGTTGGTACACATCACACTTCACCTGAAAAAATATACTAGTGCATACATATTTACTAGCATATTCAGTTATGAAGCATGCATTTTAACACATTTAGTTTAAACATTATTTATTTAGAATATCACAATGATTGACCTTTATTTTGCCAAATCCTCCCTTCATTGTGCAGCTTCTACCCACAACAATACATATTTGCTTGTTGTTTCCGTACCATTGGGGCATGCGACCTTTAACTGTGGCTATTTGAGGGTTAATGAATATATGCACCTTCTACAACTGCAACATTCTAAATGTCACTGATCCTATTAATTTTATCCATTGGAATGAACATGGCCAGCATGAATATAATAGCAATCTCTATGTGTGTTACTTGGTGTCCAAAGTGCAAAATATCCTTGCCTTGGATATGTGTTGAGAAATTGTTATTTAAAGATGAGGTTTATGTGCAAGCAGCTGGAGAAAGTTTCCTCAGCCTTAACTATATATTTTTAGTTGGGAAACTTACCGTCATCTATCATATTGTATAATTGCATGAAATAAAAGTTTGTCAGGTGGCACAGTTAGTATAATATACATGTACATGAAACACTAAGGTGGTGTAACATGTTATAACAATTAACATTAATCAGATTTAATAAAAAAAATTGTAAACTAAGGAAAATATTTATATAGTTGTATTTGTATAATGTAAACATAAAAGCCACAAAGTTTTTTAACTGAAAAATATAGTTGAAATATAGTTAAAACGGTTGCTTGATGGAAACACAAGTCATTCTTGGAGCACTGTCTAGCAATTTCCTTGTATTATAAAAATTGGGTAGTCAAGAAGTAATTTTTCAGTCCCATTTTCTTTCAAAAAGCTGTTTCCATCCGGTGCACATAACCCAGAGGTTGGTTGGAACTAGTTTAGTTGCTACAGGAATTAGTTTACTAGTTGTTATAGGAAGCTTATTTAGTTGCAACTTAATTTTCCACAGCTTTTAAGATCATATTTACATAAAATGTGATTTCAAACTGCTTTAAAGGATACTTCATATGTCATAAAGTTCATTATTTTGAAATAATGTCTTTCATAATGCTGTCACTGCAAAAACTAAGAACAAACCTATGAAAATAACACATATTTTCCACCAGAGAAATAAAGATATCATATAGCACATTGAGGTGCTTTCTTTAAAAGTAAATTGAGCCCATTTTTTATTATTTAATTATGCAAAAACTATGGGCAATGCATTTCCAAAAATTATAAATCGCAGAGCCCTATCTGAGGAATCATGCAGCCTGCCTAAATTGGGCACTGACTATATGTGGAAAACAATCTTCCTTTCTGTATGGCCATACATATTTTATAAGCCTCTATGGAAATTTCAGCCTCTGTATAGCCTCTATAGTACAGTCTGCCTTTCAACAGCACAGGGCATGTTGCCTGAATCAACCACCTAAAGATGACAGCATATATACTGAAGAAGTCAGCAAAATTGATAGCAGGAAACTTTTACCACCTAATCTAAGAGATTTAGACCAATACTATTTTAGACTGCTTGTATGGGCAGTCAAAATCATCCTTACATCCATCAAATTATCAGGTTGCTTTTTGAACTTAGATCATGTGCAGAATGATAGCTCTGCAATCTGTTTTCTTTCATGATGTGTTGTACTTGGTACGTACATTGTGATTTGGTCTGGCCGAGAGTCTGAAAGTCAGATGTGCATGCATCCTTTGTAAAGGAGCTTGAAGTATAATTATGGTCACATGTATATTACCGAAGCATGCATATTCTTACACATGCACTTTTGATAAATATGTGTGCAGTTGTTTAAAAAATGAGACAGTAATATGCTATTGCATGTCAGTTAATGACTTATTAATTTTTGATATTTTAATATGAAACAAACTCATTTCAATCATGATTCATTGACAAAAGGTCAATGTATTTTAACTTGATGCATCTTCTTTCTGCTGTAGAGCATGTATAAATGTATTTTCTAAGGCATCTCTGTTGTTAGAGTAGATGTTTTTAATTATACAAGGATACAGTTTGGAGATTTGTGTTTATAATAAATAAGTATATTTTTCCAACCATGTTTGTTTACTGGTATCCCCTGTTAGATTGAATCTTTTTTGGTAATTTACATTAATGTAGAGTTGTCAATTGTTAGTTCTTGATGAACACACCAAATTTAAACTGAAGATGTTTGATTTTTTGTCAAATTTTCTTAATATCGTTCTACTGTATTATAATGAGTTAGTGTTATCGGTCTTGGCAGCATTTTTTCAAGGAGAAGAGTCATATCTATTATTTATTTTCCAGAAAAGCAATTTATTCAGATTTATCTTAACTATACAGTTTGAAAATTTCAGATGTATCATACCATGACTAAGCAGAGAAAGTTAAATGAGTTTTTATTGGCAGTGACAAAGTAAGTGACATGACATCAGACCATTACCTTTTTTGTAGATTATTTTTGTTGTATTTGATTAGTCATATTTTTTATCCCAAGATGATTGAAATATATAAGGGCATTATAATCATCAACCAAGTATAATATTAATTTTGTAGTTTTACATTTTGACACAGTATGAAAAATAAAAATATATTCCCAAGTAACTATGCTCGTAAAGAATAAATATCAAAGAAAAAACATTTTATTTATGTTACAGGTCTATCTTCCAAGACATTGTCAGCATGGACACAGTGATTATGAAGATCATGGTAATGTTACTATTAGTAACTAGGATAATTTTTACTTTCACATTTATACTTGTCCTTCTTATCAATTAGGTACAGTTTTATTTCAGTGATGTTAATCACGTTTTTCAAATTTATAAAATTTAATAAATTATGAAATTGTATAATAAATAGAAACTATGTCTTTTGTCTATTTTAAATTATTTCAACCTGTATTACAAGTTTGACTGATACAATGTAAGGCAAGAAATTTACTGAAATGTCTACTGGCCGTTTAACCTGTTATAGACCAGTCATAATCAGAGCATAACTATGATACTTGAAATTAATAACATAATATGTATGGATACTTGTCACAGTTTCTTTTTTTACAGAAACTCTATTATGAAAAACATGCATCTTTTACATGTTATGGTAAAAGATGCAAAGGTTTTTAATGAATATTAACTTTATCCAAAAATTAGATATTTGAGTAATTTATTGTGGGGTAATGCAGTCAATCATTGCATATTTAAGTCTAGGATGCTCTCATGGCTCTCAGAATATTGAGAAAAAAGTTCCTCAAAACATAAGATAAATTCACTCACTAGCTTTCAATTTTATGTTGCAAGCAAAATCTATGAGGCCTGTATATAGATCTAAATTATCAATTTCTTCTAAATTCTTTTTCTAGTGATTAATGTACCTTATCTTAATCTGATCTGATTCTTCCACAGCTTTTAACTTAACTTGTTCAGTTTCTGTTCAGTTCCTCAGATGTCTTGTTTTAAACAGCATCACCACCACCAAAGATGTACTCCACAATATAAGTTTGTATCAGTTACGACATATGCTATGGACTGTCAGACCTTAATCATGCACTGCTTTCCTTTTCCTCGTATGCTTAATTCTTATCCACTTATCTATTTCAGCATCCCTCTCTCTCTCTCTCTTTCTCTCTCTCTCTCTCTCATTTATTTTCCTATCAGTTTATTTGCATATTTTGAATATTTCTGTTATTGGTCACTTCCTGGGTGCTTTGTAGAACTATGCTCAGAAGCTGGTGAGTGCTGACCGGGCCTCTCTGTTCATGGTCGACTTGGACAGAAAAGAACTTTATGCCAGAATTTTTGATATTGGGAAAGGACTGGAGAACAGAGAAAACCATCAAAAGGAAATCAGGTCAGAGAACTGGTTGCATGCCATGTTGAGCCTTTGAAGGACTGATCCCCAATGTCAAAGGTCAAAGGAAGAGGAGTTAATGACCTCTGCCCTTTGAGATTTGACCAACCGAGTTTTAGTTTTCACAACCAATACTAACCTCCAACACATACTAACCAAGCACAAAGAATGATGATTTATTTTCCTTCCCTACAGAATTTTGCCAAAAAGCTAGTGCTGGCTGATCGAGCATCTTTGTTCCTTGTGGACACAAACACAAATGAACTTTATGCAAGAATATTTGATACTGGGGAACACGACGAAAATTCTTCTTCGAAACCTCTCCGAACCCAGAAAGAAATCAGGTGCAGTTAAGGGCTATCTTGCAAACTCCAACATAGCTTTAGGGCCTCTTAAAGCAGGGAAAATGCATTATGAAATGCATGTCAGATAGCAATAACTACATGCCACACGTTGCTTTTCTTGGAATTGTTTTCATTATTTTTCATGGCTAGAAGAGTTTTTGCAGCATTCATTTTTCAAGCAATTTCACCCTATTCTACATTCGTTATTCTCGTTAATGTTCCTTTAATGCCCCATTTCTATGTAAATGGAGTTTGCAATTGCCTGAAGTGAATGTTCAGACTTTTGTGAACATTCTATGCTTTTTATCATGTTAATTCACCATCTACACTTTGGTATCTTTGGTATGATTAGGTGAAGGTAGCAAGCTGGGGTCACTGTGAATGTGGTAGTTGTGCATGAAGGTGCAATTACAATCACAGCACAGGGGGTTCTGAGTGTTCTGTTAGTTGTGATTAATAATGCCTTGTAGTCAGGTGGCTACCAGAACATCAAGGGTCTACAAAATTGAAGCTGTGCACAGGTGGTTTGCTGCTGGGCTGTTGACCATCAGATTATATACTTTTGATTGACAATATCAGACAGAATGCTTGAAGGCCCAAATTTATAATGATCAGATGCCAACTTCAAAAGTGTTTTTTTCACTAAATTAGGAAATATGAAATTTAAATTTATATTTTTTGCATTGCATATGTTTGAAAAAAGAAACTACTGTAGGGGATGAGATGCAGAAATGAATTATGAATATTGGCCAAATTCAGGTATAGCCAAGAAACCCACCCACTGTTTTATGCAGTGAAAGCATGTTATCCAACTTATTAATGTTATTTAAAGAATATGCATGACCATTATTATTCTAACTCACCTACACCCAGTGCTACATAACAGTACTAAGGATGTTTGGAAAAACTGATTCCATCTTTATAAAAGAAATCAGGGGTTTGTATAGAACACAGTTTTGTTCATTTCTAGGTTGGAAAAGCACATTAACAGAAATTTTAAACATTGTTTTCATGGGCATTTATAAGGAATTTGAGATGATTCATATTCATTTAGAAAAAAACTAGACTCCTTTAATGGCCCACTTTGCCTTCAAAACACAATCTACGTTGATCATATTTAACATTGTTGCAGCATTTTGGGCTTTCTAAAATATAACCCAAGCAAAATATTTCTAGCTTAATTGCACATTAATGGGATGTTTTGCACTTAACTGAAAAACACCGCTGTTATGCTTAATAAAACAACTGCACTGGTATTAGCAACTGACTTTCAGCATGCCATAAAGAAAAAGACATCTGTTTGGTACATTGTAAACCATGCATGATTTACTGTTCTTACACTTGAAATACAACCTGCACTGCTTTAAGGGGGAAATGTCCTCATCTTGTATGACATGATTTATAACTATATTTTGAAATTATTACATGATTAAATGTTGAAGCATCTGCACAATACTTAATCACAATTTTCACTAATTTTGTATCAATATTTTCTATCATGTTTTAAACATTCTTGCCCAGCAAAGAAGTTGTCATATTTACTGTTCATTGCTTAAAACCTGTGGTTTTATCTTATTATTAGATTACTAGAAATACCAGGTAAACAAAAAAAAGATGGAAATTATTAAGTCACTCTGATTAAACCAGTGCATAAAAGGTGAAATAAAAAAACAAACCTAATTGTAAATGTGTAAATCTCTCCCACAAATTTAACTATCATGCATCAGCGTATATAATGTGAGTTTACCTATGATTAGGTTCCCCATGGACAAAGGTGTGGCAGGCCACGTGGCAACAACGGGAGAGGTGCTCAACATCAAAGATGCTTATGCGGATGATAGGTTCAATAGGTAATTATGTAATCATCTCCATAGGTTACAGAAACTAGTGCTCAGAAACATTTGTTCTGGATAAATAACTGTTTTTATTATTATTGGAACATTGTACTGGGTATAATGGTTATGGTGAAATTTATCTTTTAGGGATAGAGCATAATTTATTATCTGTCTTCTAGTGTGTTTTTCTATTTATTTATTTATTTATTTATTTATTTATTTATTTATTTATTCATTTATTTATTTATTACTGATTGATAGATAAATCTTTTAAATTATATTCTATAATTTGAGCTAAAATCAGCTTTTTTTACACATTAAGTAATGATATCCTATGTCGGTGCATTGTAGTTGTGTTTATTTTTACAAGTTGTATGCCTTGAAATTAAAACTGAAAACTAAAGAGAAGCATTTCATTTGCAGAGATGTAGATCTGCAGACAGGCTATACCACTAAAACAATTTTGTGCATGCCAATAAAAATAAGGGGAAAGTGAGTAATGTTTAACTTTATAATTTCATAATTATTAAAAGTGAAATTAATTTATCGTCTAAAGTTAAAGTTTTTTCTATATAAACACATTGAGCATTACATTCAAGTTAAATGATTAAAAACTTTTTTCTATTTTGAAATAGATTAAGATACCATTACATATAGATCTTTAGTTATATATATTAATTACCATATTAAATACCTTTAATTTGTAACTTTCCAGCATCATTGGTGTTGTTCAAATGGTTAACAAACTGAATGGTACTTTTACAAAGTCAGATGAGGAGTCATTTGAAACATTTGCTATTTATTGTGGTCTTGCACTTCACCATGCTAAAGTAAGTATTTAATAATATTGTATAAACAGTAAAAATAGTACTTTAAGTACTTTAGAAAGTTTTCTAAATCAGTAGTCTTCAAATATTCATTAATTCAAATGATATTATATGCAATCAATAATAAATAAAGGTAATTATTATTGGCAACTATACAGGAGGTAGTGCCTCCTTTCCTCTATTCATTTGTTTTTTGTGCAAACTCACCTGACAAACAAAATCAGGACTGAATAAATTCATATGAAATGTAAAAAAAAAAAACGAATGAAAAGTGTTTATTTATATTTTGTGGCTGGTAGATGCGAGTCTCATCACATCATTTGATCATCACTACTATATACAGTTCTACACCAGTGCAATTACTCAAAAATGCCTTCCATCTTTAAATAGTTGTACGACAAGATCCGCAGGTCGGAACAGAAGTACAAAGTAGCATTAGAGGTGTTGTCCTACCATGGAACATGTTCAGAGGAAGAAGTGCAGAAAACAAAGAGTTTTGATGTTCCAGACAAACTCCCAGAACTTATCAAGTAAGGCACTCACTCACACTGCAATTTTAATTAAAAGTGACATGCAATGACCCTTCACAGCTGAGAATCCAATATTTTTCTATTTGGAAAGGATTGAATCCATAGCATGGAAATTTTTTGTGAAAGCAGCAGTCTAATTGCTATATACCTTTTCCATAAGTTAATTTTTTCAGTAATTTAGGTATTCAATGGAATGCCTTTATCTTGAAACTAAGTAGTAATATATTCATCCATTGTTCTGCCCTAGTGTTCCACATGGTTTTGTTATAAGAAAATTTTGATTTCAGGTATGACTTTTCCCCGTGGTCAGTGGATAATGACCAGAAACCAATCTATGTCATTCACATGCTGAAAGACCTCTTTGATACTGCAGATTTCACAAGGTAAACATGATATATATATCATTTTGTAGTAAAATAGGTTAACTGTAAATTGGATTTTCATAGGTTGAGGCTTTGAACAGTTTCAGAAAAGCAAATATAAACCAGGAGTGAATTTATTCATATTTATACATACATGTATCAGTAAGTTGTTTTAAGTACAATGCTTTGTTGAATGTATAGCAATGTGTGCATGGAACAAATTGTAAATAAATATTTGATGAGTTCTTAATTTTTTATCAAGAGCGTCTGAATTTCCAGACATAATTTTGACTAGCAACAGCTGTTATATATATATGCACAACTTATTGAAGGAAAAACCATGTACATATTTTTCCATAATTACTGTAGCCATTTGCCGTTATCATTGAGATGATACATTTCCTCAGGCTTTACAACTTACTGGTAACATAAAAGAACAAAAATAATGAACTGAGTTAGAATGAGATGCATGGTCCTTGCTGCAAGTGCTTTTTGCAAGGCCTTGTGCAATATTTTTGACCAGACCCTGTATTTTATTATGTATTTTTTAATATATTTCTCAATCAAGGACATACAATGTTAAGGCATCCACAGAGGGGCTATAAAGCAAAAATTGAAAAAAAAAAAGAAAATAAGTGTATTGTTGTGTTAAGCTGCCTTCTACCCTATTTGAAAATATTACTGGATCCAGATTTTGGATCAGATTGAATTTTCATTATTTTCTTCAAAAAGACATTTTACGGTAGCCAAGTGCTTTCCCTGTTGCTTCTGCTTACCCACCTGAATATTTTCCTTTCTGTTTTATATAATTTTTTAGTGAGTGTGATTTAAGTATGTTTGAAATTTGTTATACTTTTACTTTTTGAAAATAAGAACCCTCAAAGATTTGCAAAGACCATGAAAAGGAAGAATAATCTGATTTCACCTCTGGTTGTCTGTTTTTAACTCTAATAAATTTTAGCACAATTTTAAGTGATTTTGTGGTTTATGTCTAACTTTTTTTTTCTTAAATCAAAAGATTTGTTCCCACAAATAATATATAAACTGAAATAATGGTGGAAAAATTGGATTTTTCCTTATTTTTACTAGCTCTTGGGGAAACAAAAATCAAAAAAGGTATAGCTCCTTCCTTTTGTGCTGTGCTGATATATTTTCTCCTTTTTGCTTTTCTGCAGGTGTGTCTCAGCTATCAATAGATTGTTTCTAATTGGGTGGAATAGGTTAAATTTCTGACATTTATAGTTTTTATCAGTTATTAAAAGGTCATCTGCCAAGGTTGACTTGCATCTCTATTGAACCTTTTCCAAACTTATGTGATACCACATTTCACTGAATTTATTGCTGTCATTGTAATCTTGTCCTGTATGTCCTTGTGGCAAATATGAAATTGGGATTCCAGAAGGAATGATTTCCCTTGGCAAATGATGCATAGACAAACTTGTTACATTTGTAGTGTTCCAATAGGTAGGATTGATATAGGGGCCATTTTCTTATATATAATTAACTACATGTAAGTATAACTCAGATTGGATATAGCCCAAAATTGGCCAGCTGATATAATCAGCCATTTACTAGATTACTCATGGACCTTCATTTTTGCACTTTTTTTACAATCTTGTGTTAATCAGACTGGTCATCTTGTAACAGACAGACAGTTTAGTCCATTACTAGTCTAGGTAAGTCCCATTTTTCACCTGGCCACTTTAACATACCTAGGTCTTATCAAAATCATGCATAATTTTAGAGAAAAGTAACACATGTTGAAATCAGTACCTTAATTTGTATCATTTTTGATATCATACAAGAAAATGGCCCCTTGAAAAGTTGTTTTTCCATCATGAGTTTAGAGATGAGTCACTGTGCCTATAACATTTCCAGTGCTCTAATTTGTATGTTTAAATGAAATTAAGAACAAGCAAGTCATTCTAACAAATATACTTAGTGCATTGTTTTCAAGAGTTTTACTAAAATTTTCTCTCACTTTCTTATTTTCCTTATTTTTCAGACTTTTCACTTATCATTACTGTTTTCACTAAAAATTTTAATATTTGAATAAATTTTGGATTTTACAACAAGCATTTAAAAAAATATGGAGTTTTAGCAAAATAATCTGGAAAACTCCATATTTTATACTGTTAGATATTTCTGACATATATTATTTAATGATGTGTTGATTATAAGTAATAAAAAGACCTTAGTAAACACCAAGACAAATATAGAGTAAATTAATCTTCTGTGACTACATTCTGTATGATTTCATGGGCAAACTAACATTATGTGTGAGTCACCTTTAAATACTTCTATCTTTATCATCTAAATGTAACTACAATTAAAAGTAACCTCTTTCAATTAGAATGAAAGGCAGTTGAAAATTTTCCTTGGTTTACACATATAATAAACTAGCTGAACTGATAGATGGAGCTGCAGTAGTAGGATTTCACCTTCATTTCACAAGTACTTACATTTTAAAAAATCTGGTGCTAATTACAATTTAATTCAATTGTCTACCAAACTCTCTCATTGTTCTTCTAAATCATGGTCAATATGTGAACTGTTGTTTGGCAAGTCCCCACCACCTTTCCAACTCCCTTTTAATTATGGGTCCCTTTTAACAATTCACTTTATTTGCTTATTGAAAATAAATCACATTTGATATGAAGCACACACCTAACATAGTAATATTTAAAAATTTTACTAAGTCAGATAATGATTTAGTTAATTCTTGTTGCTTTATATTTTTTTATTTATAACTGTGCTTGTAGACATATACAAGTATCAGGCTAAAGGCACTAGTTGCAATTTTTTTCTGACATTTGTTTTTCAGTTTGAGCAATAAATGATGCGTCTGGGTTATTTACTCAGTTATTTCCATACTCATGTACAATTACTTTGCCTTTACTAAACATTTTGGTGAGATACATCTCAAATTCTGATATTTCTAAACAAATGGAAACTAAAAAATGTAAAATGTTAAATTTGTACAAACATTGCGCAATGGACCTTTTTATATCAAGCAAAAAATGATAACTTTTCTGGAAATATCAACAACTCGAGGTATCCACCAATTGACATTGTTTCTACAACTGTTTGGAATATTAGGATCTATATACCGTAGCCATTTTTGAGTGTTAATTGTCATTTTGAATATCACAAGTAGAATTCACCAATCTCCATTACCATTGCTAGAATGACTCAAAAAATTAGAAACTTAAAAATGGGTAGATTGTAATAATGTCAATGATTCTAGATATAATATAACTTCCCAATTGAGGGAAAGTGTTGATATTTCGAAGAAATTTAATATTTGTTATAAAATTAGGTTTGTTATATGAAAGTGTAACACATACTGTGTGCCTTAATTGCATGCAGTAATGTGAAAAAAAAAACAATTAGTTAGAAAAATCTCAGATATAAAAAAATTAGGCATAGAAATAACATGCACCAACATCCTTTCAAACTGCCAATAGTTGCATTTCATATGTCTATTTTATGTATTTCAGGTATGACTTGGATACTCTTTACCGATTTACTTTAACAGTTCGCAAGAACTACCGTGCAGTTCCATATCACAACTGGGCACATGCATTCTCCGTTGCCCATGCAATGTTCACAGTTATCAAAACCACCAGCAACAAGTTCAAACCAATAGAGGTAAGGCTTGGCAAACAGTAAATTTTAAAAGGTGTAATCATATGTCTCTCCATTTTTTATCAGTGATTCACTCATCATTTTTCACACATACTAGTACTCATACTTCTTTGTGCAGTCATCAGCTCCATTATTTGTATGTGGTGAAGTTAAGCTGATGCTGATATAGGAGCTAACATACAGTTATTGTTTATTAGAATAATTTTATATGAATAATGAAATTTTCCTGAATTCCCAGGCTTTGGGTCTGTTTGTTGCATGTCTGTGCCATGACCTGGACCACAGAGGGAAAACCAACTCATTTATGGTGAAGAGTGCCTCCCCACTGGCAGCAGTCTACTCCACCTCCACCATGGAACACCACCACTTTAACCAGACAGTGACCATACTGCAGAATGAAGGGCACAATATCTTCAAGAACCTGTGTTCTGAAGAGTATAAACAGGTAAGGCTAATGTACATGTTTATATTATATCATCTTGCCCAAAGTTGTCCTCATGATACAATTTTACTTTTTAAAGTACAAAAATTAAAAGAGATATTTAAATCATATACATGTGCTTTGAGGCAATTACACTTATTGTTACTGGCAATCAAGAAACAGTTTTAATGGTAAGAAATATGCAAAATTGTGCTTATTTTTGCATAGTTTTCAAATGTGGTTTATTGACTCCAATAGACTGATGGATTGATAGACTAATTTCTTTGCCAGAAGATCTAATATTCTTGAATGATAACAGGTTTTCCTAAGATATTGTGTCATTCAATAAAAACCCAACAAGTTCACTTTAGCCATCAATAAATTTGGCATAAGCTGGATGCAACTGTCCATATTATAATTGTCAATTTCAGTAAAAACTTTACAAAATAAGCAGAAAGCACAGTGAGCACTTCCACTCAGTGAAGGCTCAAAAATAGAGTAAAATAGAACAAGTTAATTGGTTCTATTTGTTGGCTTGCAGGTTCTGGGAGACATTCGTCACTGTATCCTTGCCACAGATTTGGCCCTCTTTTTTGGTAACAGAGCACGTCTCAAGGACCTGGCTGAAAACAAACAGCTGTCTTGGGACAATGATGATCACAGGTAAGAGTAACAGATAGGGTAACACATGGTAGCAATCTGAGGAACAAATTTAAATGCTAAAATCCATGTTTGTATAGAATATTTGGTCCTTTGAATTTGAATTATGGGAATTATTGCAAATAAGTTTTACAGATTGCTTCTAGATTCATGTGTAATCGGTTAACATTTACATCTGATTGTTTTTGATATTAAGATTTTATTTGATTTTGCAATGGCTAAATAATAAATATTATTGTCTTACAATAGGATTTCTTTTCAGCATTATCTTTTAAACATCAGTCAGATTGAACTGACAGCTTCTCTATCCCCCTCCCCCACTGCCCTTTTTCTCTGCCCTTTCTCAATTGGCGCGTCTGTCCAGGGAATTATATCGGATATAATGCCCTGGTCTGTCTAAAAGGTAATTGCGATGGAAATTTTGACCAGTTTCTGATTTGAATTGTGTCTACTTTTATTCTGTCTACAAGAAATATTGAGTGCAAATTATGAATGCTCCACTTGAACGGAATGTTCCCTGATTCATTAAGAGTCACATATGACCAAAGTTTTTTCTTTACCTAGCAGGTCTTTTATTGCAAGGTCTAGGTACATGCCTCTCTGTCACAGCATCAAAATTTTCAGACAATGAAGATCAAAGATATCCTCTCTCTCTTAACACTGTAAATTTGACAATAATTTTCTGTTCATCTATAATTCTCAAATAGCCATTACATAAAAAAAGAAAAAACTAAAACATACTGACAGAAAAGTTTAACACTTCTTAGCAAGTCATCTCAAACAGTGATTCATAGAAATTCCAAAGATTCCCGAAGATCTCTTTCATAGATTATGTGTTAGATATATGTGATTTCCCTTCCAATTTTTCTCTCATCTGCTGTTGATTTCCCTCATACAGACATCTAGTCCAGGCAATAGCCATGACCTCCTGTGACCTGTGTGCCAGCTTTAAGCCTTGGGACACACAGCAAGAGACTGTCAAAGTTATATTTGAGGAATTTTACATCCAGGTAGAGTGCTTATATGTATGCACGCACATCAAGGAAAAGAATTGTTACTAGGCTAGGCCTAGGGCATACTGTTGTGTTGCACGTGTGTTATTTGCATGATGCTTTTGAAGAATAATCTCACTGATATGACATTAAGCCACTGTGTATGTAATGTCCTCTAACTGATTCCCTTTTAATTTGTCCAGAGAATGAGCCAAATACTGTCTGGCTGAAAACCTACTTTCATCAAAACAAAATTATACACTTTCTCAAAACTTTCTTTTTTTGTTAGATTTTCCATTTCAGAGCCTTTCAAAAAACTGCACTGAATTCAATATTAAAGATATGCAGCCTGTTATGCATACATTTTATTAAGCAAACATTTCTCCAGGGTATTTCATAAAATTTTTTAATTTCATTATCTGCCATGGCACTTCTTTTCAAGCTACTGTCTGTATCCCGTAAATTTCTTTATGTAAAGACTAAAAAGGCTTCCTTCACCCAATATATTTGTGTATGCACTTAACTGCACCAAAGAATAATATGACGTTGGAATTTATGCAACATTATATGGAATATAATGCATCATTATATGAAATGTAAGGATTACTGTGAATATGTTGGTACTAGTACATGTAATATACATTAAGAGAGGGTGCTTCTCTCACTATCCCTGGTATATCTTCCCAAATTATCAAAGCAGTGTTTAACTATGAAGGCACTTAATATTTGGACCTTTGTCAACTTACGGTAATACCAGCATTATGAATGGTTCTCAGATATTCTTTCATCATTATACTGCTCTTATACACTGTACCTGAATGCCCATCCACCATATATATATACTGATAACTGCATGCTGCGCTTGCTCATATATAATCTGGTTTCCACAACTAAACAATTGACAAATACACATACACATATTCATTCTTGCATTACTGTTTTGGTGTTGACCCCTGAGTCTCAGGGTGCTAATTGAGAAATGTATGTAGTGTGTGGCTCTATGTCTGTGATCTACTGCACGATGTGTGTTGTTGGCTTTTAGACATTCAATCATGGCACACTGTATGACTGCGGCCGACTTGTGCTCTATGTACAAACCCTGGGACCTGCAGGTGGAGCTAGTGCATGTTATTATGGAGGAGTTTTGGCAACAGGTATGAAAGAGTTATTAACGCATGACTAACCATTATTTGCATGTGTCATTTGTCATGTGAGCATTAATTTATATGCACTATACTTGGAGAACCAAGGCTGGGCTTCGGTAATCAAATACTGAAATTATTTTTTCTTTTTTTATTTCTGATACATGAAAAACAGAGAAAAATCTTCATGACCACCCAGTTGTTATTTTTTCTTCTTGGCAAATTTTACGGTCATATTACATGTAACCCAGCCTTGGATCATATCAGAGCAATGACCTATTTATTGATACATATTACATGCATGAAGGAGCTTGATTATATGGTGTTAACAAGCTTTTGCATAATAATTGCCATCCTGTGTAGCTTAAAAGTAATTTACTGGCCCATAGTTTGAATATGTAAAATAATATAAGTAGACTGTTATGGCAGCTTCATGTAGCTGATCATTTCATTTGCAATGATAAAGTTATTGTGTGCATGTTAGAGTGCAGAAAATTATTGATTGTTTTTATTTTTTCTGTTATCCAATCAACACTGTTATTTTGAAAGACTGTCATTTTGGAAATTCTCATAGATTAATGTTTATATTTTATGTTTAATTAAGTAATTGCTAAATGATGTGCTTTGAAAACATTCTTGAAGATTTAATTTTTACTTGGTAGTGCATACGCTATTGCACAGTAACATATAAATACATACATATATTGCAATGGCACCAAATTCATGAATTTCCACATTAATTAGGGCGATGAAGAGAAAGCCAAGGGAGAAGTCCCTATTCCAATGAATGATCGTGATCAGTCCAACAAGTTGCCAGCCTTGCAGGTATCATAATGGGTAGTGCTGTCACTTACAGGAAGGAGAACCTGTAGCCATCTGGACTTTTTATTTTCAGGCCCTCCATGGCAGATAACTTAGGTTTTCATTGCTGCATTGCGGTAGCTGATCCCCTCATTGTAGTTACCTTTTATATGCAAATTTTACTCACAGGTGAAAAACCTTCAGCCCTTTACTCCTTTCACTTGGGATGTTATTATCTTAATTTCCAAACATTAACAACATTAACAAACATATCTATGAGGATTTTAAATAAAATGTAAACGTCTGTCTGTAACCGACAATTTATGCAGTTGATAACTGACACTTGGTAAATTGACAGTTGATGATGACGATTAAAATATTGACACTCAATACTGACAGTTGATACTGATGATCCAAGATGAAAGGACGTTAGCCTTCAGCCTTTATAACAGACAGTGGATACAGATAATTGATAAATTGACAATTGATATATCAGATTGACAATTGATATTGACATTGTTTACAGAAATTGATAAACTGACACTGACAGTTGATAAATTGACACTGACACTTGATACTGACACTTGGTAAATTAGCAATTCATACTGATGGTTGGTAATGATTGATAAATGCTATATATACCCAGGTATGTGACCATAAAATGAGACAGTCACACTGAAATACACATTTTGGAAAAAGAAAGTCAAGTTATCCAAAAAATAACAAATATCAGAAATAAAAAGAAGGAAAATCCCATTACAATATGTTGCAAAATTGTGCCCCTATTGTAGTTTGCCAGTGATGTGAAGTTTGCATATAATGTTAGCTCTGCCATCCTATCTTCTAGATTTGACCACCAGCTCCAACAAATCATTTCAGGACAAGGTGATAGCTGATGCCTTATCTCTGCAGCACTCCTTCTCCCCACCCCATTGCTGCACCTGCTTGTCTTGATTTTTATCAACAATATAATTTTGAGTCTGCATAACCTCCCATTGAAACAAAATAGCTTTTTATTATTGAAAGCTATAATAGCAAGGCAAACATGTTAATTTTGTTATCCATAAAATATACAATATAGGTTTGTGATTTTAGTTTTGTCACATTGACCTTACATGCTGTTGCCTATTTTGTGAAGGAAAAACTTATTTTCATTATTGAACTCCATGCTGTTCTGCAGACTTCATATACTTGAATAGCCTCTTGCCATTCTATTTCCCTTATGATCTATTGATTCTCTCTCTCTCTTTCATAAAAATTAGGGTGATGAGGAGAAAAAAAATGGGCTAATGCCGCTGCGTATGATGGACAGATCATTTGCACATGAACTTCCTGATTCTCAGGTTAGCTGTGCACACTGGCTTGTCTTGCACATGACCTGTAGATGGTGGCCATGCACTTTGGAGTTTACTGCAGTTATAACTTAGGATCCACGAATCTAACCAATTTATTTTGATGGATCCTAGTTATAACTGTGGGTGCACATAGATTAATTGCAATGCATTTTTGTGTTATTTTGTACATGTGTCCTTGTGGTTGTCTAATTTCATCAAAGATGTTACAATAATTTTGGTTACCATACATAGGGAGATGAGGAAAAGAAACAAGGTCTCACTCCAATAGAAATGATGGACAGGGATCGCAAAGATATGTTACCCCAGCTGGAGGTAGACAGCAGGAAAAATTATAATTAAATGGCCTAGTGTTTTTAGTTTTGATAGCATTTTTGGTTTCATAGAAGAACTATATTAATAATATGAATCAAAGTTATGTGGCATTTATAATTTGATTTTGTTACACTTTCACACTAATACATTTTATGAATTCCTCTCCTCTAGGCCTAAATATAGATAAATAGACAATTTACTGTATTTTCTTTTATTCACCTTGTCTATATCAGTTATCTCTTTTAGATAGATCCTATGCGATTGTTTTTTAATTTCTAAATAATGGTAGGAATCCAAATCCCCATTAAAATTTTATTTGCTTTAATTTATCTTTTTTTTCTTAACATTTAAACCCTATGATTAATTTAACCAAAGAACTGGCTGCATATCAGCCTATGATGAAATTTGTGTAATGTATTTGTCTCAGTGCTGTTTTGTGGGTCTTTTATTTGCTTCCATTTATGTATGTCATTATTTTTATGTGTAACCGTCTAAAGTATTTAAATGGATAGAAAAGAAAAAATTTAAAAAACATGTTATATGTCAAAGCACTTTCTTTAAAAAGAAATGCAATTGTCCCCCACTTAACCAAAAGAATTCTAAAAATAGATAAGGCCTCACGCCATGGATCATACAAGTACAAACTGTGCCTACTTGACTGCAGTGGACAGTGGCAAGCTGGGGCACCACTGTCACAAGGCAATTATCTTTTTGACAATTTTGTGGTTGGGGAGGGGGTGGTGCACACATGTAAAGTAACACTCACATCACTGTTGAAAGAAAGTGCTTTGGCCTTAACATATCATATCTTGTGTGAAAATTTGGCTTTTCTTTGCTTTTAAGCATAAACAAAATATTATTACTAAATACACTTATTGCCCCATACGGGCATCCATCATATTTCAGTATTTGCATTAAATTAAATTAAAAGAGCAATTTAAATCTGTAGCTTTGAGTATGAAACATTTTTTCCATTAAGAAAGAAAACATTAATGGCAATCCTCTGATCAGGTGTCCAAAATTAAATGAATAATTAAAAAATTAGTCTATGCTTATGCGAGCTAAAACTGGTTCAAATTTTAATATTCAATAACTTGTGCCCATTTTTTTTCAGCTATGGGCTAATGATCTTTTAATCAGAGGATTGAAGTAAATAACCTGTATTTCCCCAAAAATTACTGAGTTCAGTTAAATGTTTGTAGATAACTTTCCTGCTCTGCTTTTCAGGTTGGTTTCCTGGTTGGTATTTGTTTACCATGTTATGAACTCTTGGCTCAGGTTCTACCTCCCACCTCTCCCATGGTAGAGGGTGCAAAGTAAGTGTTACAAAGTCAAGTTTTTCTTTATCGTTGCAAATTTAACTTGGAATTTCTGGTCTGAAATTGCACATAGCAGTGGAAGAGAGCAAAGAAAATTCATGTGGAAAGGGACAGTTATAAGGGCCTTCATCATGCCACAATAAGTAAAGATGACCTTTTGTGCATAGACAAGTAACTATAATCGGGAAAAATTTCAACTGTATGCCAATAATCAAAGTGACTCCAGCATTATGTATTTGATTTAAATTGGTTAACTTGTAAATATTATTATTATTATTCTCAAAGCAATGACAATTTCAAGTAACGGAAATTTTTGAGAATAATGTATGTAAATGATGGAATGTGCTCATAAATGTTTCTTCTCAGGTTATCTTCCATATAGTTATTTAAGAAAAGAAACTGAAAATAAATAAAGCAAGGAAAATGTATTGTTCTATTATACTTATAGGGCAAACCTGGAAAAATGGAAAGAGCTTGCTGATAAACAAAAGGAGTTGGAAAAAGAGAAAGAAAAAGAATCAGAAGAAAAAGAAAATAAATTGGAGGGAAATAATAAAGAAAAAGAATCGTAACACATGCATGTTAGTTTTGGTGAAATCTAGAAAGGATTACAACAACAAGTATATGTAAATTTATGGCAGGGAATTACTTGGAAGCCTTTATACTATCAAAATGGCTGCAAGCTCTTAAGTCAATTCATTGTACTTTTTACAAGTCACTCTGCAGACCAGTAGGGATAAGTCCTGAAGATGGCAGCACAAAGGCTGTTCCAGGGGGCTCCAATACCCATCTGAGTTTTTTTAATATAAATAATATTGGAGATATATACTGGTACCATGTGCATTTCTATCATTTAAGAACCTCAAAGATATACAGCTTTTTATGCAGAATAATGCAAAACTTTGTATATAAGATATGCCTCAGAAATTGAAATGAATGACTTTATATAAAATGTTTAGAAATGTCATGATAGTTTCATTAGTGACTATATTACGCATAGGTACATGTTTGATACTTTAGGAAAACTACATGACTTATGTACAGTTCTGTCATAAATATTACAATCAAAATCCTTTTGGGACTGAGGCAACATCTGATAGCTATAAAAATTGTGAAAAAACATACTGGTGTGAACAGACATATTAAAACTCTTTAAAACTTTTTACTCATTTACATGCCATCAAGTAACTTACTTTTTATTCATATTTCTTCTGTTATTAGTGAAATAGCACCCATAAATGGGTAAACTTGCAGCTTTACCATTTTTTGTGTTAAAATTACTTGCTGGGAAGCAGACACCCTAAGTGTCAAAGTTCCTTTCTTCGTCAATGCCACTACCTTCCAGACTAGAAGGAGCAAAGGTAAAATTTTGTTTAATAATTAAGTAAAATGTTACAACAATTGCAATTCTGTTTTGGTCCATAGTACATCGTTTTGTATATTTTCCCCAAGTGATGTACATACAGGTTATGTATGGGCTTTTTACTTTTGATGGCTTGAGTAGCATAAGCTTAACTTTTCCTTATAGTTTAAATGCAAGATCTATACTTAAATAACAATTTGGCCCATCCCATAAAAATATTCACAATGCTAAAAATCAAAACAACGATAGTAAAAGGAAAAAATGTGGATGTATTAACAGTTCCGTGTTTGAGAGGGAATTATGGAATTGTAAAAGAGCACAACACCATATAAAATGTGAAAGAATATTTCCAATTGCATAACATGCCCAGTCCTATATATTTCTAACATTAATAGTTACCAGTTCACTTTACTTGCCAATGAACTGATATATGGAAGATTCATTCATAGATATGGCTCATCTAATCTAACAAAGTCTTTTATTATCAACTGATAAAATAGTTATTTTTGATACACAGAAACAACACCAATTGTTGAAGGCCCTCGGATATCTTGCAGGTTTAGATAATGTTGGTCAATTTATATAATTTTGTGGTTAACAACAAACTAGCAGTACTTCTGTCTTTGATACAGTTGGAACGCATTTAATGAGTCCCCATTTCTGTTCTTTTCAAGATACATGCAGCGACAATCAAAAGGAATTACTTTGACAACGGGTCTTAATCATCAATACATGTACATATATATATAGCCACTGCAGGTATTTTATCTATATATGAACCTATTGTATATTATATATATATATATATATATGTATGTGTTGCTCATTCAATCTGAGGCTCTCACTTGTTAATTATCAGTACTTGAATGTGATATGTATCTAAGCGAGTCTCTCCTGTGTAGCAAAATAAAGTGTTTTAATGTTTATAATATATCCAGTGATGTTTTATTTTGTTTGCTATGGGATTATAGCCAGCTGTTTGCATATTATTCACTGATGAACATTAATAAAGGGATAAACTCATAGGGGCCATTCAGAGTAGAAGATTTGAGTATCAACTGATCCTAGGATCAAATGGGGCCATAGCAATAGTCCGAAGGTTCAATAATCCGAAAAATGGTAACATTTTCATCATATTTTAATCAAGGGTTCATTGGTCCAAAGGTTCTATAGTGACCAATGGACCTTCAGACTATCAAGATGCCCCTTGATCAAATAAGAAAGAAAGACTGCTTATGTAGTCCTGTAATGCTCTCTCTGAGTCCCACACACCTCCCCATGCATCCAGTGGAATAGAGCTAAGTTTAATTACTGTGCCCCTGCAGGGATGCCATGTGGGGAGGCATGTTAGAGGTGGAGGGACCATTTCAGGATTAGGTGGTCTTCCTTTCATGTATGGTCTGCCATATTTGATCTTTGGATCAGTTGATACTCGGATCTTCTATTCTGAATGGCCCCATAGATGCAATGACTGTCTCACTGCCTGATTGTCTGAACAAAATACAGTATATTTGCTTGAATGTAATTTATTTTGCCAGACAATTTCTGTTTTTATAAGTGCAGAATTATTTGTACTCGGTACATATAGGAACCATTAGAATAGTTTGGCTTGTTTGTGGCTTCTTTAAAAATGTTTTAAAACTGACGTCTTCCCTATGGAGAATCACCTTACCCACTACTTAATATAACAAAACCATTTATTAATCCAAACTGTTAACTTGTAAATGCCTTCATCACTACAACATCCTTTGATACGAAAAAATTCATGAAAACCATCATGGAAAGATGCACAATGGATACACAAACACAAATTAATTGCGCTACAGAACAAGAAAATCGACCAGACAGATGTTAAACGATCTAGGGCAGCGTTGCGAGGAAGATACAAATGAAGTATTATGGACTAGCAAGTTTGACAAACAAGAGCTTAAAATTGTATAATGTAAAACATCTAAATGAAGACACGCTTCGTAATCATTGGTGCCGTTTCGTAATCATTGGTGCCGTTTCCTTTCAGACCTTGCATAACTCTTTTAACATACTTCAAATAAAGCTATGCAATCAGGAAATTTCATATGAGGATTAACAATAGACATATTACAGAAAAGAAACCTGAAATAGGCACTACCGTAGAATAGCTAGAGTGTGATATCATTTATGTATAAGTGAGTGTATTTTAATATATTAAAATATGAACCAAGTAAAACAAAATGGAAATCATGACTAACAATATTTAAATATACCAGTCATTGAAATGTTGCATTCCTTTCTGCCAAAGTCAACATTCTGTAGCTTCTATATTCAGGCAGTCCTGTAAAGAAACATGGACATTTTAGCGACGATTACGTACTTATTCTGTTCTGGTGGTCGGGAGTCACCCGATCAGCCTGTAATATTAAACGTACGCACGTATCATTGTGCTCTACTGTACTTGCAGATAGTCAATGTACTGAGAAATTACCCTCTACCAGGGCCGTAGTCAATATTATGTGGACATTTTCTCTGTGACATTTTTTCACAGTACAAAGAATAACCGTGAATTTAACCAGAGACATATCTGTGAATATCCAGTGAAAACTCAATCTGTGGCCCTGGTAGAGGGTACCCTTTTCATTTGTACTCAATGTGTACATGTACTTGTTTATGGTGAGTGAGTCCGTTTTCCTTCAAACTTACTGTACGTCGATCGAACAGATGTCGAGTAAGAGAATAACAAACTAGCTGTGTTCCTCCTTACTGATTTCTGTTCATAAACAATTCCTAGTTAAGTACGTGACACAAAAGAAACCGTAAGAACCTTTACATTTGAGATTTCAAGGTTTTTTCCACAGTTTACATGTGTTTAATAAATATGATCACTGCCTATAGTGCTTGTGCATTGGACATGCCGTATCAATAAGATTCAAAAACAAATATAGTGATTACCAGAGAGACGCTGCAGCATTTACATTCTGTTGTTGGAGTGAGAGTAAATGTCTCGTCAAGACCTTGAAGAGATGTCTCGTCAACACCTAGAAGGGTTTTTGGCGATTACACCAAGGAGTTATAACAGATAACTCCTTGCTTTTACGGTAGATAAAAAGAGGTCCAACAGAGCGCCTCTTCTACGAGATTTGTTCGTAATCCGTTCAATATGCAAAATAGCCTGCCCAAACAAAGCCTAAAGGAAGTGAACTTCGCCAATAGTTTTCTTCCTTATTTCCTTCCTTATCTGCTCATAAACTAAAAAAACGGCTACACAAAGCCTAAAAGGCTTTAATAGAACTTTAAAATATTTCAGGGTATAGGCCTTTTTACATGTACGTGTATGACACAAAAAAGTGACAAAAAGAAACCACACTTATGTCCTCACCTCCATGAAAAATAACCTCTTTTCTTTCGCATATGCAGTGACCTCCTGTGCCTGCCCCAAGTTGACCACAAGGGTTTCTCGCAAAGTGCCGGTTTATCACATCCCAGGAACAACATACACACTCGATGGTGCTTTGGGTGAATTGTGCCAATGTAAATTATAGCTAAATAACAAAGATAAATAAAAAATATGTAATAAAATGAAATGCGCTGTTCAAGGCATACACAAAAAGCAAAACAAAACCTCGTGGCCATACATAGTGCCAGAAATAAAGAAGTAAAATATCTCTTATGGTTTTTAAAAATGAAGACGGAGAAAAGGAAGGAAACGAGAAGGACATAAAAGAAATAAAAGACGTAAAATTAAATGGAAAGTGGTTTTCTTACCGGAAGCATCAGTTAATATACTAACCTACGTTTGGATCCCTTGCTACAATGTAGTTCCTAGTATGATTCACACGGTGTTTGAATGCCAAACATTTTAGCAAACTCCGCCGGCCCGCCCTAGGTCGAGTGTTACAATGATCGTTATCCATAGCATTTAAACAATTCACACTAAGTTAACTATCCAGTAGAACTAATATTTTCAGACCCCAATGAGACAATAACACTATAAAATTTAAGATGCGTAAAATAATGTGAGACTAAATGTCATGAAAATCACACACAATCATCTTACGGTTGACGTCATCATTGCGATTTGGGGGTAAAATTGAAAAGTCGGTCTCTCAAATGTCTCTTTTACCTGAGCACCCACAAACACCCTTTTAACGCCGATTTAATGACACCCATTAAGTACCCCAAAAATCCTGTCAGCGATTGTGACGGCCATTTCAATCGTAGTCAAGTATGTTATTTTTCGTGATAAAATCTTGTTCAGAGATGATGTTACGCCCAATGCCGATTGTTATATCACCTCAAAATAGAAAGTTGTTAAATTGACGATTAAAGCTTTGGGTTGCCATTGCAACGAGAAATGTAAACGCCGATATTTTATATTGTCCGGGTGATTTTTATTGTTTTAGATGAGCACAAAGACAGATGCATTATTGAATTATTAGATACAGGAAAATCTTATTTTTTGGTGTCTGGATGATTATTAAGGCTTACAATACAAAAAGTTTCCAGTTAAACGTGCATACATGTACCTGGTGTTCCTCTGGAGATAATGCATTTAAGGGCCACGCAAAGTCATAGCTTATCCTCCCATCACTGCAAATTCCCCATTTGATAGCCATAGCAAAAACTTATTCCGATCTGTCACAAACTGACATAGAAACCATAGATTATCTGACTGTAAATGAAATCAAATAAAAGATATAAATCATCTTCACAGAAATGCCCAACGACAGACAGATAACATGTTTTGATAGGTAACGGTCATAACATTGTAGTTTTATGACATGAGGGAATGAAATAACATGGAACCAACCTGTAGAGTTGTGGCATCAGTACTTTACAGACTCAATAAGTTGCAAGTAAAGAGATAGATAGATAGGTAGTAGAACGAAATGATCTATCGTTGATCAAACAATGCTATCAGCAAAGATGACCTTGCATCGATATTTAGGAGCAGTGTCCAGCAAGTAATTACTCTAAATAATCTCAAAACATATGGTCACAGGAGTTTTAAGATTGCAGTATCAATTATATTCTTTTATCAACAGTTCAAAAGTTTCATGTTGGAGAAATTTAAAAAAAAAAATGATTTAAAAATAATAAACTCCCTTTAATTTGTTTTGAATTTATCTTTGTTGTTTTGGAATTTACATGTCATGTCATTTGTAAAAGCTCCGACATGTAGGCCTACGTGTAGCGCAGTTAAAATGACACAAAGAACCCTTCAGGAGCTCCTTATGGCAGTTACAATATACATGTCAATGCCATGTACCAGTATCTCCGTGTATGGGTGGAGTCAATGACCGCCTCCCTCATTCCAAATCAAATATCCCAAATGTACGAAAAGACACGTTACGTATTACACAGTCTCCAAATCACTATTTCTTCAAATGGGGAGTAAATAAAATGAGGACTAAAAAAAGAGAAGTGGTATTTAATTGGGGTCCCACGATGATGTGGTGGATAAGCCAGTATACGTTGTTGTGCTTGTTCTTATCTAATGTTTCTGTTGGCGATATCTTTGACTTTGAAGCGAAATAGGTTTGTTATTACATATATATGGCGTTGTGTTAAATACAAGTTGTCATTTGAACATTAGTGTTATTTTCTTTGGCATGTTCCTCTTTTTGCTACAGCCAGGTCAAGTTTTTTAAATATACACATAGTTGTGATGGGTAAGTACGTGTCTCCTTTTCCAAAATGCCCAAATATAGCTTTGCAGCATGTAATTTCACAGTCTAACTCGACAAGAATGTGTTGCTTTGCTCGTCGTTCCAAAGCCTAAATTAAACAAAAGTGACATGCTTGAAATAGACGAACGCGGAGGGCTTTGTGTCATGTTGGATAACATTTGACTGAATTAAATCGCTGAGAGATTAATGAGGTTCGGTTTCATGTATCGTATCTTGAGTAAAATGCAAGATAGCACTGTTATACCAGAACGTAATGATTAATCGTTTATC